TTTTTTCTTTCTAATTCAACATTTCTCAATTGTCAGCCGGGAATCGATGGCCATCCCGGTGGTATGGTTCCTCCTGATGTAAACCATGGGTTTGCTTTGAGAAATGAGCCCATTGGCAGCGAGAATCCAGCAATGACAAGCGCAAATGTGGAGATTGTGATTCCTCAAGCATACTTAGGCCATGTCTATGGCGAGAACTGCAGTAACCTGAATTACATCAAGCAGGTAAGTTGCTGATAATATACGAGCAGATGATTGTTTTGAAACGCTGCATCTGATTACAGCTTGTAAACCAAAACAAACAGGTATCAGGAGCGAATGTGGTTGTGCATGATCCAAAGGCAGGGACTACAGAAGGACTGGTGGTTGTCTCGGGTACATCGGATCAAGCTCACTTTGCTCAGAGCCTTCTTCATGCTTTTATTCTCTGTGGTCAATCTTGATTGCTCTTATGTCAAATTGTTTAAAATTTTAACATGATAGTCAAGTAAGAAGCTCTTCTACAAACCCCAAAAATCATAGGAAACAGTAAAGTACTTCTACTAATTGCTGTGGTAAAAACTTTGTCCTTCTGTTCTTATCTGTTATCGAAACTGATACAACAAATTGTGCCTTAAACTTTGTTGTACTATAATAACAAATTCCATTTTAGCAGAAACTGTCTACTAAACCTTAATCTGCTGACCAAACTTCCTCTGGCGTAGTGCTATTTTTGGCTTACGCGGATCATTCCGCGCCACAATCTTAAGCGGATGAGCTTCTGTGTTGAAAACCCACTCGTCTAATGAAATAACCGATGAAGGCGAAAAGAGAAGATAAAGGTACTTAAGAGTCTCAGCTAAGAAGAAGCTTTGCATCTTGTTGTCTTTAGCACCTGTATTGACCTGAAAATGAAGAAGTAAACGTTAACAACGTGTTTCCGAAAGATAGAAAGGCCCTTTCGAGGAGGGTATCTGATTGGCTAATGTCAGCCTGGCTCGCATGAACTTCTAGTGACGGGTTTTTGAGAAGAAAAAACTTACATCCTTCAAGCCTACGTATCCAGATTCTACGCGAGAGTTCTTCTCAAATGCTTCGAATATATTCCATCCCCACTCTTGATATGTCTTGTTCCCAGTTAATCGCCAGAGGTAAAACAGCGATTCAACGGTTTCTGGTCTTAAAATGTTCCAAGATGTTCCAACACTCATGTCCTGAAACAATCATGTGCTTGTAGATATGACCAAACCACCCAACTAACATACAAACAGATGCGCAATATATACCAAGTATTAACCAACCTGCCCTGCAGTGAAGAAATAGTTCTCTCCAGCGAGTTTCGTTGGTGTCGATTGGTAAAAGTTATAACAAGTCCAGGCAAGCTGCAGTAAAGTGGGGAGAAACATCAATAAGCAGACATCAGAAATTTTTACAAAAAGCTCTAAATACAATTGAGATTCTAAGGTACCTCTCCAGCGAGTGAAAGAAACTTTTTTTCTTCATCAGGGCCATAACCTGAAGCTCCTAAAGCCAACATTCCAGGAGCAAAGCACGCCAATTCATCCATCTGAATGTTGAAAAATGTCAAAACCAACAAAGTTTTTAAAGTAGAGCGTTGAAATCAGAATAGTTTTTACCTTATCGATCAAATTATTTCCGTTCTTCTCGCATATATATGTAAATGATGAAGGTGTTGATTTCTTGACCAAGCTTAACAAACCTTTCATTGATTTCTCCCACATATCTCTGATTCATTGCATTAAGAAAGACTTAGACCTTAATACCTTATCATTTTTGCTAATAGTGTACTTGGGTATATATACAGCGTCGAGCTTTACTTACCTATAGGGTTTCACCGCGGATGTTTTGTTCCCTTGCACCCAAACTTTGAGCAAATACTCATAAAAGCTGTAAAACAAAATTATCATTAACTGTTACAGAGCAAGTCAAGATCAGAAGACCCAACCAACAAAAAATGAAATTTGGTGGAAGAAACTACCTATCTCCCATGGCACCAAATGTTGTGGTAGAGTACGATGGATTAGCATTATCCGGATTTATATAGATGGGAAGTAAACCATCAGCAGGAAAGTTCTTATTCAGTTCTGTAATAACCTTCTCTACCTGAGAAACACGAGTTAGCAAACGTGTCAATCTTGAGCATCAAATGATTTCTTCAGCATTAAGAAGACAGTCTGTCCTAATACAGATTGATTGCCCCTTTTTCCATACCGAATTAGGATATAAAAAATATCTATTGAACAAACTCAACTCAAAATTAGTATCTACCTTCTGCTGATATTTTGGGTCCCCTGTCCTTTGGGAAAGGGCAATAAACTCGAGCTGCTCAGTGCCGGAGTCTGCAAGAATGCTATCTCCCTAGTACAGCAAAAAAAATGACACAATCAGTAAAACTGACAGAGCGCATGTCCTCAATGAAAAAGTAACATATCTAAACCTGATCACAAATCACAATTGGTACCCATTTCAAAGACACTGCATGTGATCGCCAGTGAAATAAAATATAGTTAGTTAAGAAACTATAGTTACCATCGACTCTAGAAGCAACCCTGTTTAAAGTCTAAACCTCAAAACAAGAATGTTAATTGTTGCATACAGAGAAACCAGAACTTGGCTGTTTCTGGCGAGTCCAGATCTAAGTTTTTATACGGGGCTGAAGCATCTAAGAAAGAAGCGAGAACTTGGTTTTAAGCTATCAATAGACTCTAAGGAGTTCTCTAGAAACCTAATCAGGAACCTAAGTCAACTTAAGAACACGTGCACAGAGTTGCAGGAGCAAATGGCCACTATCTCTAGAAACGAATTAAGATTTGTATCCAATGATAGGCTTTAAAAAGATCTACATGAAAAATTAATGTCTTGTTCACAAGATGACACAATACAACAGACAGGGCACTCAGTAATCTAGGACTCACCCCTGCCGCCCATGAAGGATTGTGAGCATTTCCATTTCTCAAGTTGATAATATTGTAAGGTATACCCGTTGGAGTGTTCCATGCAGGCAATAATCTGTCTGCAATATCCTTAGCCTTTTCAAGGAACATTTTGTCCCCAGAAAGATCGTATGCACTAAGAAGTCCGCCTACAACTCTGAATGCAAATAAAGCATAAGCAGATGGAATATCCGTTCCACATCTTATGTCACCAACTAATAACCGAAAATGAACTGACTCTTCCTACGATATATTCAGAAAACAACCACAGTAAACCTGTTAAAGCCACCTTATGGTTGTCTCAAACATACTGGCGTCATAATCCTTGTCGAAATCCAATGAGCTTGCAACCCACCTGCAAATAAAAGACAATATAAGTAAACTGAAGATTGGCAAAGATGGACAAGTTAAAAGTTGGATTTGGAACTGGGACGAGAAAAATTATGTCGCATAATCATGAAGAGCCTGCAAAATTACTCACTCTCTGGCTTTTTGAAACTGCTCATCCAGACCCATTATATAGAGTGTATCTAAAGAATCTACCATAGTTGCTCCAAGGCCACCAAAGCTATCAGTGCCATCTTTTGTCCGAGGCTAACAATACAAAAAGGAAAGAAAAAAGAATAGCTTCAGACCAATAGATCTTTTGCAGAGTGCAGGAAGATAATAATCTTAGTTCTTAACAAAAGACTTGCAGGCCTATGGAAAGTGTGGTAACTTCAGATAAAGCTCATAACAAAAGGCTCAATACGTTAATGAAAGAGCAGGCACTAAATGTTATGATCAGTTACTAGATTACGTATAGGCAAGGGTGAAAAGTATATTGAAAAATAATTGTATACCTGAAGCTCATCTTTTCCCCATGCATACTTTTCATAAGAGCTCCAAGCATGGATCATTGCCTCTTTTACTTTCTGCCTTCGCTGGTTATCAACTGGATTTTCTGGGACATCCTTCAGATTCTTCAAAGGCTTATCGCCAACACCTTTAAGCTCTTCTAACTAGCGGAAAATATAGTTAGTTAGCTAAAACAGTAGAAAGACTATCGGAGTCTAGAGTGAGAGGAAAATATCAATCTTACCATCTGCTCCAACCGTGAAACTTCTTCATTTAACTTTAAAACTTCAACCTGCAAGACAACAAAAGAGAATGATCACAAGAGAAATCATTCACTTCCTTGATGAATTGAGTCCACAAATACTAATTATAGACCTTAAGACACCAACCGTCTTACTTATAGACCTTAAGCAATGAAGGCAATTAAAACCATTCCAGGCCTAAATCATAACCTACCAGTAAGCTATGATACAAGAAGTGTCTCCTAATTCTAGACAGAGTCTATCCAGATTTCATGAGACAAAACATACCTCATGTTCTCGGGCAAGATTTATACGATCCCAAACAAGCATAGAAACAGAGACGAAGACAATGAAAAGCAAAGCCAAACGTCTTGGTCTTCTAAGATAATACGCAGGATTCAAATATTTCCATATCCCATAACCACTAATCGATCTACTTCTCGCCATCTCTTCTCACCACACTTCAACAAAAACAGAGACCAATTGAGAATTCAGTGTCCATGAAACAGAGAAAAGCTTTTAAATTTCTTGATCCGAAAGAGTAAGAAACAGAGAGAGAAAAGAAAGAGATTAGCTTTCTCTCAAAGAAGCAATGTTTATAGATCCGATTTAAGTTTACTAGTAGGAATGAGGAAGACGAAGAAAGGATAAAAAACCAAACTTTAACCAAAAAACAAAGTTATTTATTTTATTTCTCCGTCACTTTTGGTAATTTATTCTTTTGATAATAAAAATAATAAATCGAGTCTCTTTAGCCCTCACTGGTTCTCTCCTTCTTTCTTCGATCTCTCTCTCTCTCTCTGGTTTCGATTTTCGTCTCCATCGTGTCGTTGGTGTTCTGGTGGTTTGGTTTGTCTCTGTTCTTCTATTTGTGGCGTTATTCATCGGTTCAATTGTCATCTTCATCGTTTTCGTCGTGTTATTTGGTTTTTCTCGTTTGGGTCTCTCGAACATCTTTCATTCTTCTCTTTTGGTGTTACTCCTTACGAATAGGTAACATCATCTTAACTCTTATTTGGTTTCGTGTTTCGTAATGAGAAAGCTATATTTCAATAGTTTTGGATGTGGTTTTGTTGCAGGATTTGCTTTTGTTTCTTAGGGTTTTATTTTGTTTGTTGAAATTTAAGAGTGAATTTGTGGAATTGGTCTGTGTTAGGCTTAGAGCGTGGAAAGCTACGAACTTTGGATTGGATCTGATTGATGCAAATATGCTCTGTTGCTCTTGTTTGAAGTCTGTGTTAATCTCTTGAAAACAAACATTGATCCATATGATGTCCTGAATTTCTGTATAGTGTTAGTTTCTATATGTAAGTTGCTCCGATGACCGAGGAAGAAAGGTTATAGTATGTGAATTATGTATTGCTTAGAGCTGATTTGATTTGGCTGGTATTCCATGGATCGTGCTTTTTTGCTCTAACCTTCTAGGTGTTTATAATTGAAATTTCTAGTTTTAATGTAAATGTGTTTCACTTTCATATTATCAATTAGGTAAATTGATGAAAAGCAACCATGGATGACCTACATGGAAGCAATTCTCGAATGCAGCACATTGGAGAAGCTCAAGATCCAATGCATGTGCAATATGAACATCATGCTTTGCACCACATCCACAATGGAAGCAGTATGGTTGATGATCATGCTGATGATGGCAATGCTGGTGGGATGAGTGAGGGAGTGGAAACAGACATTCCTTCTCACCCTGGAAATATAACTGATAATCGTGGTGAAGTGGTTGACCGTGGTAGTGAACAAGGAGATCAGTTGACATTGTCTTTTCAGGGCCAAGTCTACGTTTTTGACAGTGTCTTACCTGAAAAGGTGAGTTATGTTGTTACTGAGCTGGTTCGTTGATTGTATTTTTACTATAAGCTACACTGTAGCATGTGGTTGAAGGATCTACTTAGCTTTTTGTTTTCCATCTATTGAGTTTAATGTGTGAGTGCCTCGCTTTATTTTTGACGCCTGCTGCAGGTTCAAGCTGTGCTTCTATTATTGGGTGGACGTGAATTACCTCAGGCAGCCCCTCCCGGCCTAGGATCACCCCATCAGAACAATAGAATATCGGTAATAAAATATATGATATTTATGGGACATAAGTTACCTTCCTTGATGTATTGCTTGACTGACTGACTAATCAATGAAACAGAGCTTACCTGGTACTCCTCAAAGGTTTAGTATTCCACAGCGGTTAGCCTCTTTGGTCAGATTTCGGGAGAAGCGGAAAGGGAGGAATTTTGATAAGAAGATTCGGTATACAGTCCGCAAGGAGGTGGCTTTGAGGTACATTGATGTCTAAATCGACAACATGGTCTAGTTATACTTCTTTTGAGATTGCTCTCCCATAATTAAGGTTCGCAACTTGATTGCTTTTTTTTTTTCTGGTATACAGGATGCAACGCAATAAAGGTCAGTTCACATCTGCCAAGTCAAACAATGACGAAGCTGCATCTGCTGGATCTAGCTGGGGGTCGAATCAAACCTGGGCTATAGAAGGTAGCGAGGCTCAGCATCAAGAGATCTCGTAAGTTGATAAATACTGCGAGTTCATACTTATTAACCTGAACCAACGTAACATAGAAATTATGGGTTTGCTAAGCATCTTAAGAAGTTGTTTTTGCTTCCAGAATTTAAACAGCTAGTATCTGACTTAGTTAATAAACTGAACCAATTTAGAGATGATAGGTTTGCTAAGCATCTTAAGAAGTTGTTTTTGGTTCCAGAAACGTTGTAGAAGTACTAGAACTCTGAAACCTATCCTGATTCAATATCAAGACATACACATTGCATATGTATATCTAACATTAGCATTAGAATTGGTAACAGTGAAGGACCAGTACAGAAAATATCTTATTTAAAGCTCTAACATGCCTGCATCAAAATGACTTCTTTAATATTGGTTAAGACAGGCACAGGTTGTGATGAACTTATTTTTGTATCCTGGAACTGAGAAATTTTTATAATAACTTTGGAATAGACATTTGTCATTTAAGTCTTTTTAGAGTTGAGTTTTTCTTCTTGGCATAGCCATACTGTAGCTGGCTTAGAACATATCTAATTGTACTTCCTCTGAATGGTTCTGGAACCTGTTGTAAGATGTCGACACTGTGGAATCGGTGAGAAGTCAACTCCAATGATGAGGCGTGGACCTGCAGGGCCAAGAACACTTTGCAATGCATGTGGACTTATGTGGGCAAACAAGGCAAGATAATACTTGCTTCTTAATGGATCAACTCTCTTTATTTTGCTCATTTTGTAGCACTTGTGATTCGATAATTAGTCTGTTTAAATTACAACATTTATACTTTCAGGGTGCTCTTAGGGACTTATCCAAAGCCTCTCCTCAAACAGCACAAAATCTTCCTTTAAATAAGAATGAGGTAAGCAGCATCATGTTTTGACCAGACAATTCGTTGTGCAAAAACAAATCCATTCTTCTTTATCATAAGACTTCTGCATGTCTGATCTGTCTTTGCAGGATGCAAATCTCGAGACTGATCAAATGATGATAACAGTGGCCAATGAAATAAGCAACTCGTAGTGAGGACATGTTTCTCTTGCCATTACAAGCAAGAGAAGATCTCAACAGAGTTTGAATCGCCTCAGGTTCTGTAGCTTTATCATTCCTTTTGAAAAAATCTGAGTCGATTTAGGTTATCAGGATTTGATCTATGACGATGTAACTTGGGTGATAATGCTATGCGATGTTTGCTTCTTCTTTTTTTATGATTCAAAAATGCTTCATAGACTGTTGTTGCATTGGTCCATACTCTGATGTAACGTAGCAGTCTGTGTTTTACCCTGTTATAAAGACAACTAACTTTATTTAAGAACTCAGCAAAAGAGTGTCTCCTTATGGCCACAGGGTTTTGGAGACTTAGTAGCCTCATGTAAAGTGAACCATGTTCAATGGCTCAGGCTTCTCTAAGTCAAGAAACAAAAAAAAAAGGCTTGTGATCACTGAATTGTGATATTAGCCCAAGGAACTTGCCAAAAGAAAGAGAGAAACGAAAATGGTTCAGTGCGACTGTGACTGCTCCTTTGTTTTCAGCGGTTACATAGAATTTTGTCTTAAAAAGAGTTTTAAATATCCCATTTTGTGAGAGATATTTTAGATTCTTTATTTTTTTAACTTCAAGAAAAAGAGCTCATTTCTTTCAATTTCTTGTCTAGGAAAAAGCTCAGGAATTATCTCATCTTATCATGAAAATCTGAAAATCTTCTCATAGTTTCATTTTTTAATGATATTAAATTTGACTTTTTCGTATACCGGTAATTACATTTCAATTTTCTTATTAGCATTACACTGTTATTGGTTAATGTATGAGCTATAAGCTTTGGAAATAAATGGTATAAAAAGAATATTCTTATAATCTTTGTGGACACCAAAATTATATAAGATCTTCTGATGATTTTTGATTTTAGGTTTCAAAGTTTAATTTTCCTTTTGTTACTAAAGTTCACTTAATTTTAATCTTTCTAAAAGACTGGATTTTTATCCAGAATTAAAAAGAAAAAAAGAAAGATCTTTTGCTTGTCTTGAAGTTCATGGACAACACGCAGAGAACAACAGACCTCCGCCAAGCCCTATCACTCTGAGCTCAAAATCATATCTTCCTCCTTTCTCAATCCTAAATTCTTCTTCCTTTCGAATTTTCATTAACCAAATCCCAATTCTCCAGGACAAAGAAAAAAGCTTTCTCCTTTTTCGGAATCATTTGTTCACTTTCCCGGAGGAAAAAAATCCATACTTGCATGCTCTGAAGACTCTGAAATGCAATCAACACATCGGATTTTGTCTCGCCTCCTTCATTCTCCAGGAAAAGGTTACATCAGAGCAAGTGTCGGTGGCTCAGTTCACTTTTTGGCGTTATTCGACGAGAAAAACGATGGATTTGTAGATACTCATCGGAGTTTTAGTTCTCTTATCCATTCCAATTCTCACTTAAGAAGGTTTATCTCCACCAATTGTTCAAACAAAGGTCTTGGTGTGCGATGTTCTGTTTCGCTTGATAGGGAAACACCCTTAATTGATACCTACTCCTCTCACCGGAGTATGTCTTCCTTTCGTTGACCTAAAGTTTTCACTTTTATTGTATATTGTGTGGTTTATTGGTTTGCTTAGGGATACTTAGTTTGGAGAAATTTTAATGTGGTTGCTCGCTTACAGATTTCTTCACTCGGGCGAAACAAGTGAAGAGAATTGAGATCAATGATCAACACAGGTAATGTTCTAGTTAGTGTTTTCTTGTAATGTGAGTAGTATCATCGTGTGATCATGTCGTTTAGGTCTGGTTTAAGAAGTTCTAGTTAGTGTTTTCTTGTAATGTGAGTAGTTACTTCGTGTGTGTGATCATGTTGTTTAGGTGTTGTTTAAGAAGTTCTATTAAATTGAATTGAATTGCTTTAGCAAGAAAAAGGTTCTACTGAATTGCCGTTATCTAAATACATTTTGTTTACTGGTTGTTTTGGTTCCAAAAGTGGGTAATTTTATCTGTTCTTGTATCCTCATGAAGGTTCATTCTGGTATCTTTTTTGGGTAGAATACAGTGTTAGCTAGCTTCTGTTATGGGTTCAGTTTCATAGACTTTGTTGTGCTTTAATAGTTTTGTTGCTTAGTGAAGTTCGTTGAGTCAGCCAAGGGATGTCATGAGAAGAGAAATTCTTCTATGTACTTGGTGTCCTTCTCTTGTGAAGCCCTTTAGCTATATTTTTATTAGGAGTTTTTCCTAACTTCTGAGTTATGCTTTCGTGAACATTTTGCAGTCAAAGAGCTGTCACCACTGCACTATGGTGCAACTTCCTCGTGTTTTCACTTAAGTTTGGGGTTTGGTGGACAAGTTCTAGCCATGTCATAATGGCTGAAGTAGTTCACTCCGTCGCTGATTTTGCTAACCAGGTTTGTTGCTGTTATGCTTTTTTGTTGGCTTTTGTGGCCGGTTTAATATATTGACTATTGGGTGAAGAAAAACTGATATATATTGATGTTGTAGGCACTTCTTGCTTATGGGCTTAGTAGCTCAAGGCGTGCACCAGATGCCCTTCATCCGTGAGTCTCTACTAATATTGTATACTCTATGGTAGAACAGAACAGCTTTCTCTTTTTTGAAGAAGTACTTAGACCAACTTTTTCACTTTTCTCAGCTATGGCTACTCAAAAGAAAGATTTGTATGGTCCTTGATATCTGCTGTTGGCATCTTTTGCCTTGGGTCTGGTGCTACCATAGTCAATGGAGTACAGAACTTGTGGACTTCTTCGGTAATTGGCTCGGAATATATTGTGACATTGATGTCATATGCTATATGATCTTTTGGGTTATTTGATACTCTTTGTACATTTTGTTGGTTGTTCATCAATTTTTCTAAATCTTTCTCAGCCACCTCCGAATATGGAATATGCTGCTTTGGTAATTGGTGGTTCTTTTATAATTGAAGGTATTAACTTTTCCTGATCTTTGTGCATCTTGTTATGTGAACCTTTTTTGGAGTTGGACTAGCTGTGCTTCAATCCTACTTGCTGAATATTTGTTAATCTTAATGTCTCAAAGGTGCTTCGCTTCTCGTTGCGATTCAATCTGTCAAGAAAGGAGCTGCTCAAGAAGGGATGACCATAAGAGATTATATATGGCGTGGACATGATCCTACTTCTGTTGCTGTTATGACTGAGGTATTACTTTATGCTTGGATCTGATTTAACATATATATAGAAACAGAGTAAAGTAATGTTCCTAGAGTGAATCATTGAAAAACACTGCTAAATTGTATTATGTTCTAATTTGTCTGTGAGTGACTAACATAAATGTACAGGATGGCGCTGCAGTGGCAGGTTTGGCAATTGCTGCCGCATCTCTTGTTGCTGTTAGGATGACAGGAAATCCTATCTATGATCCTATAGGATCAATTGTAGTCGGAAATTTACTTGGAATGGTATGTTTGTACTCTCCTTAACTTGTTAAATTATTACTCTACATATTACATATCTAAACTAAAGAGTATGAATTCTACTAGGTCGCTATATTTCTCATTCAACGAAACCGACATGCCTTGATTGGAAGAGCAATGGATGATCAAGACATGAGTAAAGTTCTTAAATTTTTGAGGAATGACACGGTACAAATTCTGCTTATCATAACTTAGAAGTCTCATATATGACGCATGTAGAGGTGGGCTCAGAATCAAATATTTTGTTGTGTAGGTTGTAGATGCTTTATATGACTGCAAAAGTGAAGTGATTGGTCCTGGATCCTTCAGATTTAAAGCTGAAATAGGTGAGTATTTTGAACTGTTATTTGCTCTCAAAGAATTGGATTGTTCCCTTTGCTTGAAAATAAGAAGGAAAAAGGCAAAATCTTAGCGAGTGAAGATCATTGTATCGTATTCCGGACTTCTTGAGTGATTCCATTAGGCACTGTATTAATTGCTATATTCAAACAGATTTCAACGGGCAGATGGTTGTCCAAAACTATCTGAAGAGAACTGGGCGTGAAGAGTGGGCAAAACTGGTAACTAAATTTGCAACCTTTATCTCATAGTTGTGTCCTTTTAGCTTATGAACAATCTGTTAACTACCATTAGTTGGTTAGTTACTTCCAAATTTCTGAAAATTGATGGTGTGTATATACTCAGTTTCGGGAGGCCGCAAAGAAAGGAGATGATTCTGCAATGCTCAAGATTATGTCAAACTACGGTACGCAAATGTCAAGTTCTACTTCTGGATGTGCCATAGTTGATGTTCCAAGCTTGAAAAAGAAGTAAAAAAAAAAACAAATAATCTGTTGTAGGTGAGGAAGTTGTCACAGCTTTAGGAAGTGAAGTAGACCGGTTAGAGAAAGAGATTCAAGAGCTTGTCCCAGGAATCCAGCATGTTGACATTGAAGCACACAACCCCACAGACCCATCTCTATGATCTGAAAAAGAAACTCGCTTAATTCAAGGTCGGATTATCGATACATTCTTTTGTTCCATTATCTTGGCTGAAGAAATGCAAGCCACAAGTATGATTGTGGTGAATCCTGGCCTCTTGGAGAAATAGAAGAATGTTATTTCAGTTGTGTGATTGGGAAAAAATTTGCAAATGGATTCTTCTCTTACCTTGTTTCAGGTGTAGAAGACATAGAAGTTAGAAGTCTTGATGTTATATTGTAGAAACATTGAGATGTAAGATCGATATTATTTTATATGTACACGATACTAGTGTTTTGGTATTTCGTCGTAATCAGTATTTAGATAATTTGGTTCACATGACTCAAACAAAAGCAAAAAAAAAAAAGAAATACCAACGGCCCAAAAGTCCATATATCTTCGTGTAGAGAAACATTTGTCTTTATACAAATGGAATATGATTTGTTTGGTCAAATTTTACACAATCACATTGAAAAGAAAATTGTAATATTATTATTTCGTGGAAACACGTCAGTTGACCTTAAGAAGTTGACTAGGAAAAATTCTTCTGCTCTTTCGTATTTTATGGCCATGGTGTGTATAATTTGGTGTTTCTAAGAAACAGATAAACCAGTTTGCATTGCAGGCGATGACGGAAGCGACCGGCCTGAGGCGTTTCTTTTCTAAGTTCATTTGCTGTGTGTCCAATGCACATGATCAAATATTTATGAACTTTTAAGTTATTATATCCAGTATAAATTCGTTTTTCTTACCATTTTTCCCCAACTTTTCTTTGTAGGTGATGCAGACGATTCGACTATTGAATATGAACCATATGTGTACATTCCAGCGAATAGTTACTCGTATGCCGAGGTTACGAAAATTACAAACAAGTTCAATAGAGTTCATGGCAAAGGAGGGTTTGGTGTAGTTTATCGTGGAGTTTTAAACAAGCAACAAGTAGCAGTAAAGATGCTAAACCGAGCATCCGTCTACAACATTGTACAGTTTACCAAAGAGGTAATTGGATAAAAGCAGGAAATTATTGCTTCCCTGAAAAAAAAGTAGATTTTCATCGGTTGAATGTTTTGTTGGTCGATCAGGTTCATGACTTTGTAAAAGTTCATCACAAAAACTTGGTGACCCTCATTGGGTATTGCGATGATGGTGAGCACTTGGCCCTAATCTACGAATTTGTGGCAAATGGAGACTTGAAGGATCAACTATCTGGTATGAAACTACATTCTAGTTTTTGGTTTGTTCTTCAAGTTGTATGAATACCAGAAGATAACCGCATTTGCTTTCGATGTAACAGGGAAGTTTGGTAATGTCCTGAGCTGGGAAAGCAGGTTGAAAATCATCATTGGAGTAGCACAAGGTAACTTAAGCTGCAGTGATTGAAGCAGAGCTTTTCATTCATGGAAACTGATATTTGTAAAGTGCATTCACAGGTCTGGAGTATTTGCATAGCGAGTTGCGAATCCTTCACAGATATGTTAAGCCGACAAATATCCTACTAGACGAAAACTTTGAAGCGAAATTGGCTGATTTCGGATTGTCTAGATCCTCCCCAACCAACCCTGACACAGAGGCGTCAAATAAGATTTATGTCAAGCCTGGAAGAGATCCATATCTGGATGACCAGTAAGAAAAGATACATCTTTTCCTCAGAACTTTTAATTGACTCGAAAATGTTACTCACTGTATGTATTGGATAATGCAGATACTTCAACTCAAACTGGTTAACTCAAACAAGCGACATTTATAGCTTTGGCATTGTTATGTTGGAGATGATAACCAATCAGCCTGTGGTTGACAACAACCGTGAGAGTCCTCACATTTCAAAGTGGGTCGATTTACAGGTCGCGAAAGGCGATACTTTGGAGATTGTTGATCCCAGGCTAAACAATGACTTTGAGCCTACCTCAGTCAGGAAAGCTATGGATATAGCATGCAGTTGTGCAGCTCGTGCTCATAATAGGCCAAGCATGAGCCAGGTTGTTATAGAGCTCAATGAGTGTCTAGCCTTAGAGAAGGCTCGAAGTATTGGAAGAACTGGGGAGATAACTCAGACTCAGTGAGCAACATGACCATGAGTTCAATTATCTCAACATTTTCATCTTAATTTCTTTTGTTGTAACCGTCATCATCACATTTTCCGTATCTTTGCTTACCCTTTTCTCTCTAAAAGAAGAAAAGACAGATCGTTCACGCATGGTTGCGGCATTTTGTCCACTTTATAGCTGTTCATTTTCAGTAATGTTTAAACAGCGAACAATGTCTCGCTGTATCTTCTATGTTCCTCCTTTGACTACGATGTCTCTCTCCAGTCGACCATATGGTTATGACATAAACAGTATGCAAAAGTTATATGAGCCAATAGATTCAAATTGTAACTTCAACAGTTTACTTTCCTTACCTAAACAAGGCAACCACCCCAATCAGAATACTTTGACTAAAAATTGAATTGGTATGGAGCTAAACTTATCAATAAACAACCGGAAGAAAAACTGGTGACTAGATTGGCTTACATTTGGTGAGAAGACCATTTCACAGAATTTGGATTCAAGATCACTTTAGCAAAACATTTCCCTCATAAGTTACATCAGAGAAGTTCAGCAAAAGCATGAATACGCCAAGTGGTTCTTCTTTGATATGTAGGGAGAGATGTAATTAGTGGGAACACCGGATGTCCCTGAGATCTCGGCTGGAACGAGAACTTGAGGCTTGCCTAAAGCTATCCTTTTTCCAACTGTGTTGGCGTAAAACAGACCGGGAATGGCTGGCACAAATACATCACTCCTTGAACTTATGTAGAAGTCAATAACATTTTCATATTCAGAATTTTCTAATTCAAGGTACTTTGATTTCTTATCTGTCGGCATTATTGACTCCTGCCATTTTTCAGAAAGAAAAACAAATTAGCAAATGGGTAAATACTTCAAAGACTAAATAATGAAGGATTTTACGCACCTTAGTATATGTTTTCGGGAAAATGTCCTTAAGAATATTGAGGCTGCTCTCCCATCTTGGCTGAGTCAGATATATAGTTGTATCGCTGTCAAATCCAAGCTTCCTCAAGAACAATGCAATCTCTTGTGCGTTGTAACAGGTTTTGGATCCCACAGCACCTGTTTCATGGCAATTTTTCTTTTCAAGTATCTCAACCCTCAAGTCTATGGCTATGAAACGGCCACCAGATTTCTTGCTATGTGTCTTCAGCCGCTGAATCATCGATTCAACCAGTTCATTCACTGCAGGTTGCAATTCCAAGGAACCAAACATTGCCAGACAAGAGACAGGGTCGGTTTCAGCACCCTGCGAAGATTTCCTCAAGTTCACAGAAGGGAAATAGGTTGTAACTCTTATGTTCCCTTTTGATTTGAAGATGGGATCAATATGTTCCTTGATGTAATCTTCTGCAACTCGGGTAGGAACCTTAACAATGGCGATATCTCTAAGAGATACGTGGCTCGGCAATTTTCTTACAACTTTGACGACGCTTTCCAACCTCTTAATGAGTTTATCCACATCATAGATATCTTCAAAGTTCCTGGTCAAGCATTTCAAAGTTGTTCATAAACCTTAGAGAACCAAACAATTCAGCAAAACCAAAATGTTTATGAAAATACAAAAAACCACTAACATTTCATCACCAGGTTTGCTTCCTCTAATGTCAGGAAGCACGAGCGTTGCTCCAAGATGCTTCGCCACCATAACGGCATCCGTAATCTAAAGAAGATGATAAAGTTAAACAACATAAAACATCAGTGGAAAGCCAGATTGAGTTCACAAATTTGAAACTTTAGAGTTGGTATAAAGGATACCTGAGAAACATGGTATTCAGGACCATTCGTTAAGGAGAACGTAACATAACCCTTCGACGATACCGCTTCATCTGCAAACACCAGAACCATTAACACAAAATCAAACCAAAGACCGCAGAGAAGATTTAAAAAGAGAACAAATCAGAGGTTTGGAATATATACCAGATTGAGATATAGACCAACAAGGTTTAAGTTCATGGCTATCTTCCATCCAAGGACCTTTATTGCCACCTTCAAAGGCTCTAACAAGTCCATCTTCAACAGCTACTCTTGATCCTTGGAATTCAATATCATGTGCATCTCCTTGAACTTTCTCCTGTAAAACCACAAAGAACCAAAAATAAGAACTTAAGAGAAGCATTTGGAGAATTTAGCTACCAATAGAATCAAAAAGCTCGAAGCTTTCACAATCAATTCTGAAAAAAAAAACAGCTGAATCAGTCGTTTTCTCCAAAGTCTGAACCTTTCTGATCAATACTATCCAAATTCGATCCAAAATGAATAAAAATTGGGTTTTTATTGAAGAAAATCTAACTAGATCTGCTTCTCAGAGAAAGATCCAAAAGAGAAAAAAAAACGATCACTTGAATTTAGCTCAGTCACTATCGCATAATACCTGAAGAGCATCAAAGTAATCTCGATGAAGCATTTGTCCAAGCATCACAAACATGGTAATGGTCAGAATTCCAGCCACCACTTGCCTCAAATCCACACCCATCTCCTTCTTCTTCTTCTTACACTCTCCTTATCTTTCTCTCGAAAAATGGGTTTTTCGAGAGGGTTTCACGGAAATTGAGGAGAATAACGAAAAAAAAAAAGAGACAAGATTTCACAAATCTGAGTCTCTTTTGATGATTTTGTCAAAAGACACTTTTTTATTTATTTAAGTATTGGGGTTATATATTGCCAGTGTTCTCAAGCTTTGCCTTAAGAACAAAACACAGCCACCGACACTCTCGCCGTGATTTCTGGTATTTAACTAAACGGGTTTGTTTTATAAACCGGATATGTACCGATTTTGATGTCAGTTAACCGGATTTGTACCGTATCGAACCAAAATTAGTCAACAAATCTAATCTGTATTTTTAAGTAAACTATTACTTACCAAGTGGTTTGTTTTGTTTTAATAAGAGAATCTGCGAAAGTCACATTTTTTATATTTTCCTTAATTGATTTTTGTCGTCTTCTATAAATTAATTAATTATCAATTTTTTAAGGAATATAATAATGTTCACTGAATCGTATAGTTTGTCAATTTATTAATTAAAATTGACAAGTGACTTGCCAGTGGCCACTATTAATTACTGTCTTTTAAAGCGAGATTGAATTAATTGACAAATAGAGTACAATTAAAGTTTTATTTTCTTGTTGGTTTTAAAGTACAATTAAGCTCCGAGATTTTCATAATGAAATGTGAATAAATGAGCAAATTGTGTAGAGAAGTGTGTAATTTAACGGTAATAAAGTTTTGCAGCGGAAAAAATTACAAAAGTAATCTTGAGCAGTGGTAGAATTAGGAACTAAATATATAAGAGTAAACAAAGAATTAATTACCATATATTATTTATATTAATTTTTAATATTTTATTTCATGAAATTAAGTGATAAAAATATAAGTATGATACAAGAACCCTAAGATAGCTAGTATAATACAAACTCAAAACCTTGAAAACCTAGAATATTCTAATCTCAAATGTTTGTACCGTTTTTTTTGTGGGTCATTTTTGTACCGTTTATTTCCCAAATTATCACGCCATCATTACATTAATCATGGCCCCGATTGGTTGTGGCTGTAACTTTACATTTTTTGCTGTAGAATTTAGACTGTAGATTTTTTAGCTGTGATTTTATAATTTTGGCTGTGAATATATAAAATTGAAAGCTTGATTAGTAAATCATGTTGTAGAATATATACGTATACATATATGGTATTATGATAATACTCATTATTATGGAATCATATATATTACCTAAAATTAAATGAATTAATTATAAATTGGAAAGAGAGGACGTGGGAATATTAGAAGAAGAAAGAGAAAATCAAAAGCACTATTTTGGTTGCTGTAGAAAATTGGATGTGTAAAGCCAAAAATTCAAATATTTTTTTGTTTTAGCTGTAGCTATTAAAAAATATTGTAAAGCATGATTGTTTAGTTTTAGAGCTGTAGGATTAATAAATGGCTGTCCACAGCTTCTACAGACACTACCAATCAAGCCCCATGTCTCATGTATTGTAAAGATAAATTTGACATGAACATTTTTTCCGCAAATAAAATGGAAGAAAGCTAAATACAAAATAATTTTCACGATTCTAAAAGTCTTATAAGATCGATTGGATCAGACAAAAAACGATAAGCAATTAGCTTGGACTATATTATTATGTGATAATGTTAATCCTATATTTTATTCAAAAAATTAAAGCGAAAATTGGTCTACCTAATCCAATTTATTCATTTTTTTAACTATAAGTTCCTGCAAAATTTCCTGTAATAGCAGTTAGTTGGTGAAAAATAGTGTACGAGACAAACAAAACTACTCTTGCTTTGGTCGTTGTCTCTATTGTTAGAGTGAATAAGGAAATTAATGGACAGTGAGGAATATGGCAACACTTTAGTAATTAGATTTCTTGGTCAAATTGATGACATAATCATTATAGACATATTTTAGTGTCTTTCCGGGATTGCCTCCTAAAAAGGATGACACTAAAGTATGAACCTGGTTTTACGTATTTGTAAGACTTACCAAGCATTCACCTTTCTGAAATTCGTTAGTTCGGATGACGAAATCAAAAGTTATATATTAGATCATGACATATAGTTTAGTAGTTTGTGATAATATACTAATATTGTAGCTAACAAGAAATAAAAATAATAATATTATCGTTATGTCACTATCCAGATTCAAACTCACATAATGCATGTTGTTGATAAACAGAAGTGTGTTAGTATTAATATTGGTTAAATATTAAAAAAAACAAAGACTACAAAAATAGTTAAAAAGGTTGTTATCATAATTTATAGGTTAAAAAAAAAAATTATGATCTCATTTTGTTCCTCTAAATAATTTTTTTCATTAGTAAGGTTTTTTGGGCTTATAAACCTCTCTACAAGCAAAATGTAACTAGTAGCATCAAAGTAGTGCAAGATAAGGCAAATTTTACCAAGCTATCATCAAATCTAATTCGAGCTTCAAGGTCTTAAAAAGTAAATACTAAGGAGATTAAATCGAACTCTTCTTGAACTCGTTTAATTTTTCGATAAATTGAACTCAAAGAGACGAAACTATTCTCATTTGATAGGCACACAATTAAATCATTGCAGTCTAAAACAAATCCTACTCTTTTGAAGCCCACTCTATGAATAAACAATATGGCCCAGGCCCATTTAAGGCCCTTCCGCTTTTGCTGCCAGTATCGAATGAGTCATCGTCTATCGGTAACGTTTACACATTTAATTTCCGGTTTAATCGGTACGATTCTTCCGTCGGACCCGTCGTCGATCGCCGGTGATTTTTGAAGCTTTCCGCCGTAAGAATTCTATTCAATTTTGACCCACGACGGCGTTCAACTTCTTCGTTCTAGTCTCTCAAGAAGGTTCGCTCTTGAAGGTAAAAGTCTCAATCTTTTCTTGAAAAAGTTGCAAAGCTGGAAACTTTAATTTTGGTTTGACCAATCTCTGAAGTTGCAAATGACTTCAGTACGTAGTTCCTATAAATCTTTTGGATTCAATTTCATTAATCAATGTCACATATACAAATACATTACACACCTCTCTATGTTAGGCTAAGCTTCACCAAGAAACGAGTGAGTTTCGTGATCTTGTCTAAGTATTATCATATAGCTTCTAATGTCATGTGAGAGTTCTGAGTAATCTCCAAATCCATCACTTTGTTCACAAAGTGAGACTCTTTGTCTCTCTTCTCTGTTTCTTCTTTCTTCTGAAACATTGTCTTCAGTTTCATCTCTAAACCCTTTGGAGTATAATATAAATGCTTACTATCACTTGTAGGATCTTCTTCTACTAGAAGCTTTATGTAACTTTGTAGGTAACTCTTGTATCTTGGCACAACTGTTTTCACCATTGCTTGACATATCTTCCATGCCAACTTGTCGTCCTCAACAACCCAATTTGCTTGCTTTGTGTATATCTCATCAAAGCCTTTAGAAAATGCTTGTAATGTTCTCTTAATTGACTCACGGGCTCGTTTTCTCTTCACAGGAGATGATTCTGATGATGATGATGAAGTGGTTTGGGATTTGTTGGTGAGTAGAGACAAGAGATTTCCCCAGCTTTCTTTGACATAAAGTGCGGCGTAATAGTCTCTGTACTGCTCGTGTGCGTTTAACCAAGACTCTCCCATCATTTCCCCGAGATGAGTCTCTCTCAAACCGCAGAAATGGGAGTGATTGTTCATCATAAAGATGCAAGAAAGAGCTGTTTCTTTGTTGGAACTTGACCAAGCGTCTAAGTTCAAAGCAATCTCTCTCAGTATGTTGTAGATGTGACCTGTGAGAAGCTCTTCTTGATACTTTGTGTTTTTCCATCCCAAATCAATCTCGAGAATCTTTGACAAGATTGGCTTGTTGTTGTTCCCCAGTAGCTTGTTGCAGTACTCAGTCACAACGCTCACAAGCCTAGGGACACCTCCATCAAGAGGTGGGCAATTTGGTCTCTGTAGCTCCACCTGACTAGGTAACTCCCAAAAGATTTCGCAGACACCCTTAACGAGATTGCTAATTAGCTCCCGTGTGACTCTGCGTACCTCTGAACATTGTTCCCCTTGAAATATGCGGTTAAACTCTATCCGAATGTTGTCCATTGTATAGAAACAATCTAAGAGCTTTAGCAGCTTTGGTGGATCTTTCTTGCATTTGCTGATTCTTGATCCAAATCTGAGAAGCGGAAGGATTCTTGAATTTGAAGCTATTTCTCCAAAGCAACGCAAGGGAACATCTTCTCCAATATCTTCAAATACGTCATAGCAGAGCTTACTCTCAAACTCGTATATCTCTCTCACAGCTATCTCCATATGCGATCTCCATTGATCTATATCCCCTTCAATATCATGCACATTATCAGCTTCTGTGATTGTTTTCTCCAGATAACCAATCTCAAAACGTTTCTGAATGACCGTTGTGCGGACTTTGACATAAACAGATACACAGTTTTTCAACCGCGTGTGAGCATGTAATCTCTTGATGATAGCCTGCAACTTTCTCAAGTTATCTTTCGACAAAACCTGCTCCTCTTTTAGAATCCGCTTGAATTCTGTTTCAAGATTCTTCAGCGCTGTGTAAAGAATCCCTCCTTTGAGATAAGCACGAGGCTCGCTCATTTGCAATTCCCGGAGAAGCTCTATGGAAGTCTTGAACCGCAAACCGCAAGGATGATCTTCAGGCATTCCCTTTTCGGTTAAGTACTCGATTGTATCTTCAAGCCAGTTAAGAGCAAGAACACAGCTACTGGAGAGAAGCTTCATCGCTTCACCAAGACGTTTAACATCTGAAACATAATCGAGGACTCCATCAGAGGACACGAGAGATCTCTCAAGCTCTTGAACCGTAGAAAAGACTCTCAGAACAGCGGATATCGGAGCAATGGTGTGACGGATATGATCAGAGAAAGGAGAAGCCTTCCATCTCTCAACTTTAAGATCAGCTTCTAAAGATAACAACTTGTGGTTGATCTCTTCAATCTTGGATCCAGTCTTGTTAAGAACCAATGAAAAGGTTTCTGATTTCTCCATCTCACTCTTCAATAAACTTCTCATTGCTTTAAGTCTCTCAAGTCTCTTTGCTTCAGCCATTTCTTTGCTGCTTACTCAGTGGAGGATATTGTTGCTTCAACAATATGTCCTCGGAAGATAAACCAAATTTCTTACCAAACCCACCAAAACAAGCAATTACCAGTGTTCTTCTTCTAAAGACTTCTGAAAACCAAAGAAGATCAGATTTGGTATTTGAAAATGTTAATCATTAACTTAAAAGCAAAACCCAAAGTCTTGTTTTATTTGTTAGTCAGCTCAACCATCTTTATCTGAAACTAAACTGTTTCTCTCTGTTATTTTCTTCTGCAGTTTGATCATCTGACAAGTCAATGAGATTGTTGTCTTCTCTCTGTTGCATTTAATATTTTAGCTTAGAAAAGCTACAAAACAAACAAATGCAGACATTTACACGAAATTATGCAGAGACATTATACACGAAATTCAATCTACCTGAAAATGAGAATAAATTTGTTTGTTTGAGTAAATTTCGTGGAGACTCCGGGAAATAAGTTTGTTTGTTTTCCTATTTTTATGTAACTTCACTTAAATTTCTATTTGCCTAATCAAGTAATTAAAATAGCAAATCTGGGGTTTGGCTCAGTCTTCGCGTAAACTCCAAGAAACAATCATAAAAACTAATAAAAAGACAAAAAGAAAATAGTTTTGAGAAAATTCACTGAATTGGGTAGATGGAAAATTGGTTAGAAGAAGATAGTTAATTAATGGGCCGATTACATCATTTGAATAGGCCCATTGGGCCTAATATGTGTGAGGATTATTAGGGCACAGGATTGGTCTGTCTCTCTCCCATTTCGCGAATTTCTCAGAATCAGAAGGAAGAAAAAAGAAGGAAGAAGATCGGAGATGGCATCGAATGCGGCGGTTCCGTTTTGGAGAGCGGCGGGGATGACATATATATCGTATTCAAACATCTGTGCGAATATCGTGAGGAATTGTCTCAAGGAGCCACACAAAGCTGAAGCCCTAACTCGCGAGAAGGTTCACTTCTCTCTTTCCAAATGGGCTGATGGGAAGCCCCAGAAACCTGGTAAGCTTTTCTCGATCCTTTATCTTTAGATCTTTGGATCTTAGATCTGGGTTCTTCATGTTCTTGTGTTCTTGATCCCTGATTTTTTTTTTTGGGGTAATTTGTTGAAATGAGTAGATAGATATCTGATTTTGTAGATTGTTTTGGGAAAGCTATTGATTTTAAGACGAAGTTGAATCATTTTAGATTATTGTATAAAAAGTCTTATTATTTACGAATCTCCATTGATTTTTGCTCAAACTTACCTCTGCTTCTGGATTGGGATCAGTTCAATACTATCCTCATAAATTGTTGTTGTGTTCAATTGTTGAATTTTACAATTAGATTTAGCTTCAGAGAAAAACCTCAAAACTCAGTAGTTTGTTTGAAACAAGAACATGTAGAAGATGGAAACTTGATTGGTAACATTGCAATCTTTGGATCTGATTTCTTCATGTTCTTGTTGTGTCCTGGAAATTGTTGGAATATTTAGATATCTGATATCGTAGATCATTTTGGGAAAGCTATTGAATTTAAGAGGAAGAAATCATTTTAGAATCGTTGATATGAAAAAAAAAAAAAAACTTTTAGAATTTACGAAGCTCGGTTGATTTTGCGCATAATCTGTCTCTCTTCTGCTTCTGGATTTGATTAATTTCATTCAATTTGGTTTTCTCATAAGTTTTTGTTAAGTCCAAATTGTTGAATTTCTCAATTAGTTAGCCTCAAAAAACAAGTAGTTTGTATCAAACATGAACATGAAGGAGATGAAAATGTTCGGGAATCTTAGATTTAGATGATTTCATTTCTCAAATAGGGTTTACAGATACAATGATTCCAGATTTTGTCTATCCAAAATGGGTTAGCTTTCTACTTTTCTTGTTGATCCATTTGTCTAACATTCTCACATGTTTTTGTTTTTTCTTGACAGTTTTGCGGTCAGACACACCTGAAGTTTGAGATTGAGTTTGAGCTGATGTCCTTAAAGGAATTCAAAAGAAACTGTGTTACCAAGATTTGTTTTCTTTTTATTGTCAGCAATGGAGCTTGAGTGAGAAACTCATTTCCAATCATAATAATGACATTGATACTACTTGTGTATCTGTTTTCTTGTTTTGCATCTACTCTGTTTCAATTTTTGCATGCAAATAATCAAAGTGCCTTTGAGGTCTCTTATGGCTAAAGACAAGATATTGATTGTTACAGAATAGTGAGAATATCATAAAACTAAGCACGTGTGGAGAATCAATACTGCCATAAGTTGAGAGAAGACCATACTTTATATTAAACATGAGAGTATACAAATTGTTGTTTTGAATCATGTTTTTTGAATTGCCGAACCTATTTTTGCCGGTTAGTGACCATGGATTCTTCTTTCATATAAACTGGATTTTTCGACCAATAAAAAAAGTGAACATTCATCATCATCGAACTGTGTCATCGAAAAGAGGAAGTTGTGATAGTTATCGCCTTTAGATAAAAAATTTCTAAAGACGAGATATTGATTGTTACAGACTAGTGAGAATAGCATAAATAAAACTAAGCACATGTGTGGAAAATCATTACACTCTCGTAAGATGAGAGAAGGCAATTATGTGTACTCCTTCCGTTTTTAATACACTGTAAAGTTTTTATATCCAGATGAAAAAATCATTTAATTTTCATTTATTTTTATTAAATCATCATTTATGATCTATTTGAATACGATTCAGCCAATAATAAAATATTATACAAAATGTAGATAGTTAAAAACAATATAAAAAAACAATTAATTTGCATTGAAAGTTGAAAACATCATCTAATTTTGAATAAACTTTTTTTCTAAAACATCAAGTATAAAAAAATGGAAAGGAGTATTAAACATGAGAGTATACAAACTGATTTTCTGAAGAAAAAAAAAAAAAAACTGATTTTCTGAATCATGTCTTTTGAATCGCCGTACGCATTTTTGCCGATTTTTGACCATGGTTTTTCCTTTCATAGAATCTGAATTTTACGACCAATAAAAAGAGAGAACATCAACATCTAACCATGTCATCGAAAAGAGGAAGTTATCGCCTTCAAGATAAAAGTAGACTCTTCCAACTCTAAAGATACTAACGCCTAATATAAATATTAATCTAACCTTAGTTCCAAAGCTATACCCAATTTGAAGCACGCACATGCCAATTCTTTCAAACAAAAATGTTATTGTATTGATTCCAGGATCGAAAACCCAAATGACGTCGTCGTGGAAGTCGTGATCATGAAGACAGAGAAAACATGTAATGTATTGGAGATATCATTTTGAACTTTTGATGAATGGTGTTTAAATTGGTAAATATCACTTTTAACAAATCTGTTTTCCGTTACCCGCGAGTACTCCATAATAAGTGTGATAGCTCGAATCATCTATGTGACACTATAGAGAACCCATCTGAGTGCTAATCTGTTTTAAGTGTGGTGCTAGTGGGCACATACAAAAAAACTATAGGATTAAAGGAGAGGGAGTGATATGTTATCATTGTGGTCTTGCTGGTCATTACATGCGCGAGTACCCAAGGAAGAATAAGTGTTTTTTGCTGTAGAAGAGCAGGGCACGTTACAAAAGAATGCCCAAATTTGGATTTGGATGGGATGATGATACATACTCCATAAATCTTGAGTAGAGAAGGTGAAAGTGAGAAGAGTATATGTCTTATTTAAATCAGTTGTTTTTTCACAGTTTATGAAACCAAAAAGATTATAATCATGTTTTGATGAAAATGTGCAGAGCTGAGTAGCAAGAGGAAACAGTTCAGCAACAATGCAAAAAATATTCACTCCTTCTCTAAAACTTAACAAAACTTGAAAACGCCATTTTTTCTGAAAAAAAACCTATGTTTCTCTATTGACTATGTCAATATGTGGTGTTGTTCTTACCTAATGACAATATGTGTTGTTGTTCTCACCTAATAACAATATGTATTGTTCTTACAAGGTTATTAAATCAATTGTCCTAATCCTCAAGAGAAATGATTTTTTAATATGAGATAATGAAAATTTTAACTTGGAACAAAGATTTTTTTTTTTTTTTTGAACAAAGATTGTAGGTGAATGTTTTTGGCATCACATAACCAAGGATTTTTTTTTTGAACAAATATTGTAGGTGAATGTTTTTTTTTTTGCTCATATGAGTTCAAGTTGTCCAAGGAAAATTTGTAGCTAGAAATAAATATCTAATTTAAAAGAAAATATATATTATTTAGAAATAGGAATTTAATTTACTTTTGGTATATAATCTCAAAAAGACAAAAACACATGAGATAGACATAAATGTATGCTGTAAATAGATATCCAATTTATACTAATACAAAGTTTATATATATATATATATATATACAAATATTCCCAAATATGCTAAAAAATACAAATATTCCCAAATATGTTCGATTTCTTTTACAATAATGCATGAACTAAGAATGGAACATGATATAAGTATTGAGTGTTTGATTTAAATTTGATCTCCTCTTCTTGGTTTATATCACAAAACCAACAAAACGACAACGTGTTAAGTCTAAAAAAACTCAACAGAGCCAGGGAACCACACAAATGGTTTCAGTGCCTGCAAGTGTTCCTCACGCGCTTACAAATCGCGTAGATACCTTTTTCTCGATTTTAACAATTTCGATATTTGTTTTTCCTTTTTATTAATTTTCTCAAAACAAAAAAAAAATTAACGTTCCCTTTCAGTGTCCTTTCAATTTCTTTCGACGAACCTTCATTTCTCAATTTTGATCGCTTCGAAGAACGAATCAATATAAGCCTGCCACAAACCCTAGAATACGACAACGCACGACGACGACGAAGTCGAAGAAGACGACTACTATAAAACGACGAAGAAGATAATAACTTCAATCTCCAATCGAGAGCTTTTGAATTTTCAGATCGTAGAAGAAATCGAACTTCGATTTCAAAGCGATGAGACCGATTCAATCGCCTCCAGGAGTTTCCCTTCCGGTGAAAAGCCGTCCTCGTCGCCGTCCTGATCTTACCTTACCGCTTCCTCAACGCGATGTTTCTCTCGCTGTACCTCTTCCTCTTCCACCTACCTCCGGTGGCTCCGGTGGATCTGCGCCGTCTTCTGGTGGTTCAGCGTCTTCAGCTCCGTCGACGAACACTAACAGCTCCTCAGAAGCAAAGAACTATTCGGATTTAGTGAGAGGTAACCGGATCGGAAGCGGAGCTGGTGGAACGGTTTACAAAGTGGTTCACCGTCCGAGTTCTCGTCTATACGCACTCAAGGTGATATACGGTAACCACGAGGAGACAGTGAGACGTCAGATCTGTAGAGAGATCGAGATTTTGCGAGATGTGAATCATCCAAACGTTGTGAAATGTCACGAGATGTTTGATCAGAATGGTGAGATCCAGGTTTTGCTTGAGTTTATGGATAAAGGTTCTTTAGAAGGTGCTCATGTGTGGAAAGAGCAACAATTAGCTGATCTATCTCGTCAGATTCTTAGTGGTTTAGCTTATCTACATAGCCGTCACATAGTTCATCGTGATATCAAACCATCGAATCTTTTGATAAACTCTGCTAAAAACGTTAAGATTGCAGATTTTGGAGTGAGTAGGATCTTGGCTCAGACTATGGATCCGTGTAATTCATCTGTTGGAACCATTGCTTATATGAGTCCTGAGAGGATTAACACTGATTTGAATCAGGGTTTGTATGATGGTTATGCTGGTGATATTTGGAGCTTAGGTGTTAGTATTTTGGAGTTTTACTTGGGGAGGTTTCCTTTCCCTGTGAGTAGACAAGGTGATTGGGCAAGTCTTATGTGTGCCATTTGTATGTCTCAGCCTCCGGAAGCTCCACCTACCGCGTCGCCGGAGTTTCGGCATTTTATCTCGTGTTGCTTGCAGAGAGAACCGGGGAAAAGGAGAAGTGCGATGCAGCTATTGCAGCATCCTTTCATATTAAGAGCAAGTCCGAGCCAGAACAGGTCTCCTCAGAATCTACATCAACTCTTGCCTCCTCCTCGTCCTCTCTCCTCGTCTTCTTCTCCAACCACATAGCGTTTTCTCTCCTCTCCCCTTGATCAACTTACTTTTTTTTTTTTGTGTTACTAGTGTTCTTCAGTCTTTGTCCAATTTTTGCTAATCAAGGAGGGTCTCTGAATCTTACATTTATTAAGGAGTAAAAAACTCGAGAGAGAGAGAGGGTTTTTGGGGGTTATTGAATCTTTGGGTTATTGTTTTCTAGAAAGATAAAGAGAACAATGATAATATTCTTATGCTTATGATGGTGCCTGTTATCCCCAATGTAGCTTTGTTGAATTTTTCATTAAAGTTTTATGCTTGTTAATTTTGCATCTTGAAGACGAAAAGGACCGTTTCGTTTCCATTCTCGGGGTTTGGTTTTGTCATTGATAAAATGTCTTGTTGTTAAGGGTATATGGATCGTCAGAATCGATTTTCCAATCTAATCGGGGTTATTGTCCCGGTTTAGAACATCCTTGTAGATCAGATCAACACAATTCCTAAATCCGAGAGAGCAAAACGACTGTGTTTAACAAAGTGGGTCTAATAGAAAAGAGAAAGTTGGGCCAGATAAAGATGAAGCCCAATATTTAAACGACGTCATCTAAGGCACAACAACGGTCTTCTCCAAAGTTGGAAAACGACAAGAAACAAAAACACAGAGCGGAGGTGATGAAAGCTTGTACGGAGAAAGTAGCGATACTCGCAGCCATTGATACGATTTGATGACACAAGATGTTTACATCTGTCCTTCTCTCTAGGGTTTTTCGAGTCACCCATACTCTTATCTATAAATACTAAATGTTCTGATTTCTTTGTTAGGTTCATTTGGTTTACTACTCTGCTTCCTCTGCTTGTGAGTATTCTCTTTGTAAGTGCGATTAGTGTTACTTTTTAGGGTTTTTTTCTAAGTTGTTGAGATTTGTTTAGCTTGCTTTGGTTTTTGTTTATGCATTTGCCTTTTTCAGTGTGATTAGTGAGAAAGGAAGAGCTTTTAGTTACGTTTTAGGGTTTTTTTTTTTTTTTTTTTTTTTTTTTTGGTAAACTCACAAAAGTATCTAGCAACCTGGTTTTAAAACAAAATATGTTACGGTTTTTTTGCCTTTTTCAGTGTGATTAGTGAACAATGAAGAGCTTTTAGTTACGTTTTAGCGTTTGTTCCTGCTTTAGTTTGGTCATTCTTTGGTAAAGAAGCTATCACATTGGTTCGGTTTAGCCACAAACTCCTCCCTCTGTTTTTGTCATTGATAAAAATGTCATCTTTTTGCTATTTCAGTGTGATTAGTGAACAAATACAAAACTTTTAGTTAGGTTTTAGCGTTTAATCCTCCTTTAGTTTGGTCATTCTATCTTTGGTTCGATTTAGCCACAAACTCATCCATCTGTTTTATGTCATTGATAAAAATGTCTTCTTTTGCTATTTCTTTGATCCTATTTGGAAGCAAAGGTCTCTCTCTTGCTTTTCCTTTCTTTCGTTAATGCCTCTGAACAATAAACCTTTGTGAAAATCGCTTAACTTTAGTTAATGTTGTTTCCATTTTCTCTTAACATTCATTAATGTATTTTATTGAACTTTGCAAATTTTCAGGGTTAAGTAATTGCAGATGGCACTCCCTCCATATGATCCGAATTTCACAATAGCATTCTCAATCCGCGAACGCGCAGATATTGAGAATGACCCCGAGCACGGTAAAAACTTGTCACTCTAGATTATACTCACAAAAGTATCTGGCTACCTGGTTTTAAAACAAAATCTTTTGATCTAATCCCTGTGGCTGTAGAATTAGGATGTTGTGTTGAATCAATGCTTTGGTTTTAGCCTGGATTATGTTGATTTATCACAGTTGATTCTGGTCATATTCTTACACCAATGTCTTAAGTTTTGTTCTTGTTGGCTCTGATAACTTGTTTGCTAAGACAGGTTTTATATTCTCTCAGATATTGATAGCATGTGTGTTGTCTTTGTATGTTTTATCATGATTTCAAAGCTTCTCTTTTATGTTAACAGTGAAAATTGAGTCACTTGACTAATTAGAGTGACTGTAGAATAATTAGGATGTTGTGCTGAATCAATGCTTTGTCAATTGTCACATTGTTTTAGTTTTAGCCTGGATTATGTTGATTAATCACGACTGATTCTGATCATATTCGTATCTTGTAAGATGGAAACACATTCAGATTTGATTCATTTTGTGGTTTTGTCTTTGCAGATGAATCTGCTTCTGCTGCTATTGTAGCGGTTGAACTGATAAGCTCTGCACGGCTTGCACTTAAGCTTGATAGCGTCCACACTGAGTACTCAGCTCAGTATTTGGTGGACAAAGTTGGTAGCTCGCGTAGGCGCAGGCGCAGGCGCAAGCTCACTGTCAAAGACTGCCTTTTCTTTGCGTTAAAGAAAGGCGGCATACCGAAAGCAGAAGATTGGCCACCTTTGGGATCTGAGTCAAAGCCCCCGTCATCGTACAAACCTGCTCTCGTTTCCATGAAAGGAGAAGTGATTGAGCCTAAGGATATGGACCAAGTACGTGACTTGTTGGTGCATCAACCGGCCGTGGGAGCAAAACTTCATGTGTTCAGTCCACACATTGAGCTTCAACAAGACGTAAGTGCTATAGCTGTTAGTTAGAATTCAATATAAAATGACCCAGAGAGAGACATTTGATCTAAAGTATTTGTTCATCTGTTTTGTGTGGTAGGCAATTTACTGTGGCTCGTCAGGTGAGTATACGCGCTATGTTGGACTTAGAGATGCGATCATAGTTGGAACGGAGAAGATCCAAGGAAAGTCCATGGCAATAGTGAAGGTTTGGTACAAGAAGAAGTTTAGAGTTCTCAAAGTGGCTTTGAGCAGGATGTTTTTTTGGGCGGGCGTAGGGCCATCAGAGCTGCTTGTTGACTTTTGTGTCCCACGCCTATCCATCGATTAAGCAAGAAGATATGGTTTTATCTTCTTAATAAGTATCTATCTATCTAGAGAACACTATGCTACTAGCTAGTGGAAGACTTTGTTTAAGAATGCATGTTTCATCTGGAGACTTTTTTATATGTAATAATAAGTTGAGAATTTGAGATCTTCAATTGCATAAATCCGAGTAATTTTATTATATGAAAAAGGTCTGCTGTTTTCTCCAGCACAAGTTACATGAAACCAAAAAAGAAACCACACCTTCATCACAAAGGCTCATTACATGAATTAAGCAAGACCAACAACAACAACAACAAAAGACAATGGTTCGTATGAGTTTGCTTCCTTGGTTGGGTCAAACAGTTGTATGTATATACACAATGAAATCATCTTTTGCTTTTTGGTTGAAATCATCGATCACAACCCATTTGCTAGTTTTGCCCTCAGATCTTTCCTCAAAATCTTCCCTGATGGAGCTTTAGGAATGGATTCAGTGAAGAACACTTTGTTGATTCTCTTGTAAAACACAACCTGTGATTTCACATATATACAAAGTTTGCATCAATAATGATTCATTTCTCATGTAATAGTCAAGTAAAAAAATGGAACTATAACTCAATTTTTACCTGTTTCGACACGAATTGTTTCACATCATCTTCTGATAACTCTGAGTCCTTCGATTTCACCACAAATGCAACTGGAACTTCACCAGCAGCTTCTTCTTTCATTCTGTTAAATCACACATAACAACAAAAAAGTGTAAGCAGTTTTAAACAGAGATGCTAGTGAAATCAAGATCGGCTCTTTGATCTCCAATTGGCAATGTTTAAATTATGTTTTAATCATAGTTGTTGGTTCCACAACATATTTTAATAGTATATTAGTACTAAGATTAGCCTAAATATATTGTTGAGCCAACCACATTATTTTGGTCACGATAAATTACTATGAGTATTTGTTGGTTCAACAACATATTTTGCCGATTAGCAACTAAGTATTTTGAATACGAAATTGATTTGTTAGCGACTGCAAAACGAACAAATGTTAAAATTTGAACTTACGCGACAACCGCAACATCAGTAATGTCGGGATGACCAATGAGCAAAGCCTCTAGCTCAGCTGGAGCTACCTGAAAACCTTTATACTTGATAAGTTCTTTCAATCGATCAACGATGAAAAGCTCGTCATCGTCATCGATCAATCCAATATCTCCAGTGTGAAGCCATCCGTCTTTATCAATGGTCTCTGCTGTAGCTGCAGGATTGTTGAGGTAACCTTTCATGATCTGGTGACCACGAATACAAATCTCCCCTGGTTGATTCCTCGAAAGAGAATCTCCGGTGTCTGGATCAACTATTTTCATCTCGGCGTTTCTTACAACCGTACCACAAGCTCCTGATTTCACTGGAAAAGGTTCTTTTGCGAAACCTAACGACATTGCTAGCACTGGACCTGCTTCTGTCATTCCGTATCCCTGATCGTTTAAACATTTTCAAAACACACCACCAAAAATTAAAATTAGTCACATATATATATGATAGAAAATTTAAAATTTAAGAGTTTATTTGCAAATATTGATTTTTTCATCAATAAAATTTATAATTTTGTATATAATTTATATTTAATGTTTAATGTATTTTATAGAGTTTTATTGACTAAAATAAATAACTAAATCTTTAATTTGAGTATATGCTATTTAGAAGAAAAAATAGCACAGAATTGAACATTTTTTACGTTATTTAATCAAAATACATAGCTATTTTATTTATGTTATTTTTTGCCATTTAATTATGAGATTTCGTTCCATATATATATTTAGATTTTCCAAATTCGTAAAATTCCATTAAAAAAAAAAAAACTGTGACACACACCTGACCGAGTTTGGCATTAGGAAACTTGGCACTAACGGCATCTTCAAGCTCTTTACCAAGAGGAGCAGCACCAGATTTCACCACTCTTATTGAGCTCAAATCATACTTCTCCGTCTCCGGCGACTTCGCAATGGCCAACACAATCGGCGGAACCATCGGAGCCACCGTCACTTTACACCTCTGAATCAGCTCCAAAAGCAGATTAATCTCAAATTTCGGCATGATCAGAATCGCCGCACCAACTCTAAGACCACACAACATGATCGAGTTCAAAGCGTAGATATGAAACATGGGCAAAACACAGAGTATGACGTCATCGCTGTGGAAATAAAGATTCGGGTTCTCGCCGTCGACTTGCTGAGCAACGCTCGTGACTAGTCCCTTGTGTGTCAGCATCACTCCTTTGGGTAGTCCCGTCGTACCGGAGGAGTAAGGAAGCGCCACCACGTCGTCCGGTGAAATCTCAACCGAGTCGATTACGTCTGATGACTCGGTTGTCGACTGAGTCAACTCGGTGAAGCGGAGGCAGCCGTCAGGGATAGGGACGGATTCGTTGTCGTCGATGCAGATGATGACGACTCCGTCGTCGTTTTGGAGGGGTTTGATTTTGTCGACGTAGCGAGATTCGGTGATGATGAGTTTGGTGTTGGAGGCTTTGGCTTGTTTAGCGATCTCCGCCGGAGTGAAGAATGGATTCGCGGCGGTGGCGATTGCGCCGCGGAAAGAGGCGGCGAGGAAAGAGAGGACGAATTCGGGGCAGTTTGGGAGGAGGAGCATGACGACGTCGTTTTGGTTAACGCCGAGTTTGTGAAAACCGGCGGCGATTTGGCGGGAGATGACGTGGACGTCGGAGTAAGTGTACACGTGGCCGGTTGGTCCGTTGATTAGGCAAGGCTTGGAGGCGAAATCTGAGATGTTTTGGAAGATGTAGTCGTGGAGAGAGAGGTGGTTTGGGATGTAAATATCCGGTAGCTTTGATCGGAAAATGACGTCACTGTTGTTGTTGCTGCTGCTCTGTTTCTCCATCACTTCTTCTTGTGGCGCCATTGTAATTTTCTTACGAGTAAGGCTTTAGGTTATTGAAAAATTTGGTTTATGTTTGTGTGAATTTTAGGCTTTGGCCTGAAGGAAACAGGAGTTGTGTCGGAGGAGTTCATATAGAGAATTCACCGGAGTAGACGGTGGGGTTGGTGAAAATGTTAGTATTGTTGTTTCATGACTTTGCTGAGGGTAATTTTGTCATTTTCTCCTTTGAGTATGGGTTCTCAAATTTTCACGTTGCGTTTGGTAAGCTGCATTTCTTTCTTTTTAAATCACATAAACGCTTTGAAGAAAAAAATCACATAAAAGCATAAAGTAGTGGTAATATATAGTAGCTGCATTATTGAAAAATTAATTGGATTTTGTAACATAAGTTTTTCTTTGTTGAAATGGTAATTTTGTTTTTTACCATTTTATGTTAAATTTAGTAAATAATTAAAAAAAATGGTGATTTAAAAACATTTGCAAAAAAAAAAAAAAAACACGTTAGATACCATAATTAAATATTTTAAAACCATGTACCAGATAAGATAATGTGCTATTAGCTTAAAAACATATGAGATTTCTATGCCAATTGAAGATACCCAAAAGAAATTAAATGTTTTTCAAAAATTTCACCATATAAGCCATAAAATCAACCTTGGCATATGTTCTTTCCATTGACAATTCATTTGGTGCATATATTCTAAGGAAAAATAAAAAAAAGTAAATACATTTTGTATAATAATTTTAATATATAAGCAAAAAAATCAATGATTTTTAGGAAAAGACATAGCTAAAAGCTATATTATAGATATTTGCCATATTTGGGATATGAGTCCTACTTTAACAATTTCTTCATTTGTTGTTGATTTGGTCTATTTTGGTTCCATAAAAGAAACATATATTACCAACGACCATGGAACCCGTATATAAACTATTGACCGTCCAAATATGAAAACTAAAACCATTTAATTCAAATTTGGAGATCAGTCAAATAGAATTGGATTTAAAAAAAAGAAAAAACTTATGGGGTTAAAAATGGAAAGCTTGAGAAAGTACAGGGGTGGGATTGGAAATAAAGGAAATGGGTTTGGTGAGAGAAGAAGAGTGGGTTGGTGAAGAAAGTGAGAGATATTGATTGGGCTTTGGTGGAAGAGGTGGGCCAATGTTGACGATATAACCGAAGCATTAGTCCAAGTAAAATTGAAAATATTTGACAATAATCTTCATTTTTTCACCAACCCCACCACTTTTAATATATTTTATTTATACAATAATCATGAACATAATACATATATCTCCAAAATCAATGGACAATAGCCTTCACCAAACTCATCCTTTCTTAGTGACATTTCCATCGATTGATTTTTTTTTTGTTAAAAGACCGAAATTCCTCACATCCGTAGAAATTCAAAAAAAAAAATATTACCACTAAATATGTCCAACACTTCAAACGAATACCACCAACCTACTACAGCCAAAGCCGTAGCAACGATTATGAGGGCCGCCCGCGAAAAAAAAAAAAGGGCCGCTCTAGAAAAGTGTATACTTATAAAAAAAACAAAAAACAAAAAAAAACCTTCTCTCACGCTTCAGGTGATTCGAACTCATGACCTAAGATATGTGGTGTATGACATAATACCACTAGGCTACCAAAACACATTGGTATTTGAGGGCCGAAAATATTAATAACTTCTCGGAGGGCCGCAGCTCCCGCTTCTCTTGCTTCTATCCAGCTACGGCTCTGACTACAGCTTAGTTGGATTTGTTTGTACATGGACTTTTATAATGAGATTTTATTATTATTAGGCTTAGAAAATGATTCACCTCACAAATGGTATAGATCTTTACGATGGCTATTGGCATTGCATTTACGACCAGTAATAGCAACAAAAGAAAAGAGATATTCAATGGATAATAATCATATAGCTATTTGTTTTTGTGAAAGCGATGTTAAAATGTGATTGAATACAAAAACGCTTCGTCAATATATGCCAAATGTAATGGACAGTGATACTGATTAATTTCGACATGAATCATTTATTACATAATAATGCTTGAAAGTGATTGAGAATATATTAATTCAAGTGCTATGAACCGATCTAAGTTTGTATGCAAAAACATAATGTTGAATATTAAACGACGCATATATTATTAAATAATAGTTTCAAATATGAAAGAATGGACTATAGTTCGTAGATCAAACATCTGAATTTTCTTAAAACAAGGATAAAATGAAACCAATCCTAGGAATTATTTACATAGTAAAAGACTATTTATGCAAAGTCATGTTTTAAAAATTTCTCAAAAAGAGAAAAGATTCAAGCAAATGGCAAGAAACGAGACCCATGGTTAGTTGGGTTTGGTAAGATACGCTTTACGCTTGTGGCTTCACGCTTATGTGTGATGTCTTTTTTCCAAATGATAAAAGTTTAGGCATTTTACTTGAGAGTATAAATTTATCATTTTATTATTGTGTAAGATTTCTTTCCTTTTCGAAAATGTTTCTTACAAAACATGCAAAAGATAAAGGATTAGGAGAATGTCTCTCTCTAGTCTCTTACTCGTGTGTCTCCTAATAAGCCTAAACTATACCAAACATGAAGACTCAAAAACTCCATTCATAAAATCAAATGTTTGTTGGTAAAGGGTAAAATCGTCAATTCAGCGGTCCACACCAAACACATGCTAAAGAAGTCCGAGTCATCAAATGTTGATTGATTCTACAGCTTTGCAAAAAGTTTTTACTTTTCAGTTTTCATCATATAACTTGTGGAGTCCTCTCATAATCCAAATGTTATGTGTTTGTAATGTTTAGTGTCATTATTTGTGCTTCTTCTGATCCACTATTGTTCTAACCAGAACATGAAGTAATAAAGTTTATCTGGCTGATTGTTTACTTGCTAATACCTTCAGTTGCAACACTTCTAGGAGTCAGCAGGAGAATTTTTCAAGAGACAGGTAACACTTTTCAATCTTGATATATTCAAATCTCATTTTCTTGCGAGAACTTTGTTTCACCTTTAATGAATGTCAAAAAATGTTCTTATAAGAAAACCAAAGTCAGCAACACTCTTTATATATATGCAAGTGTCATTAGTCACCTAATCGTATAACAAATCATCAACAAAGCCCATTTGACTAAGCGAACCACCACTGACAAAGGCCAGTTAAAAGTAAAGCATCATAGTTCAAAAGTGTTACTAGCTAGATACTGATTTGTTTTCACCTTTATTATCTTTTTGATAGTCCTTAAAACATGCAATGTTACAGTTTATTAGTCTCTGTTTGTATTCTTACCTTAAAGCCTGCAACTAAATTGTTACCAGTGGATGGACAAGAATGCCGAAAAATCTATGCTTGTGTTCTGTGTTAATGCATAATTAGAGAGCCAAAACCGAGTATCACTCTGCATGTAACATAAGGCAAATATGAGTTTATGAAGTTTTAGTGTAAATCCACATGCTATAAAACAGTTTTCAAGTATATAACGATAAAATAGGATAACCGTTTTCGCAGATTTTCTAAACTGTAAATACAAGCGAATCACTACTAATCTACTATTCTCAAGAATTGTTGCTTTGTATCTATATTGCTGCATCTGGCTAGCTTAAAGAATCTTTCTACCATTCTAAATTCTAGTTGTAAATTACTCATACATAGATTCATTGAACCATCATTTTGTTTCTTCATAGAAGCCTTCCTTTTCTATGTTGATCACTAATTAGTTCACTCGCATAGGTTACTCAAACATATAATAAATTACTTGTTAAGTACCAGATTAGGGCTTTAAGCATCGATCTCGATAGCTGGTAAAACCGCAAATGTAAAAGCAGATTCAAAATTCCAAATCCAATGAACATTCAATCGTATCATGATTGAGACTTAGGGTAATAAGATATATAAGTATTTAAGCTAATTAGTGATCTTACTTGCTTGATTACACCGTCGTTTTTGAAGAGACTTCCTGGTCGGTCATCCACATTCTCGCTCCGCCATGGCGTACCATATGATCTTCAGATTCCGGCAGCCTCGTCGTCGTTTTGAACTGGCTTCACAGTTTGTGATGAGTGATCAAAGTAGAGCAAAGAAGAGTGTGAGTTGTTTCTGTCTTAACCGAAAATAAACGGTCTTCTCTTTTTTCTTTCTTCAATTGTGGAATTATATATCAAAACCAAAAAGGCCAATTTACAGCTAAGCAAATAAGATTTTTTTATGAAAGTTTAATTTTATTATATCTAAAATTTAAAATTCTAATACTTATATTTAAAATTAAAATAACATATAGGCTCTCCAGAGAAGACATAAGTCTCACTTTTTGTTTTAACATTACTAGTGTCTTTATATACACATCAACAGATAGGAAAATAATACTGGCATGTGAAAATATAATTTAAAAGGATAAAGACAAATGTATATCCTGAAGTAGGATCAACATATATCTTTTTTTTACACATGTAGGAACACATATCTTTATCCAAAAAAACTTAGAAATGATACAAAAAAATCTACATCCACTAATTTCAACACTGTGAAAAAAAAAAGAAATTTTGTTTTATGTCAAATTAGTCGTTTAGAAAAAAAAAAAAAGGTAAGTTTGGAAATAAATGTGATTTCCCTGCATTAAAATTTTACAATTAGTAATTATTTAAAATTGTGAAGTCATTCCATAAAAGTGATAAAAGCAAAAAAATAATACCAAATATTAACAATTTTTTTAGTTATAATAATAAAGAGAAAAAAAGAAAAGAAAAAAAGAGGAGAGTGTGTGATTTTATTTGTTTGTCGAAATCTGGGAATCATCTGATACTCTTCTTCTTCTTCTCCTTCATCGATTTGCTACAATCTATCGGCGACGAGCTCTATCGGAATCGCAATCTGTAATTTCCCGATCCGGCTAATTCCTCATCGTCGGATCATCATCCATTAGATTATTATTATTATCCAAAAGGAGAGTGTGTGTGAATCGGAGAGCGAGCGCGCGAGAGAGAGAGGGAATGAACGGTGGTGATGAGGTCGTCGCAGCTTCGGCAGACCCATCTCTGCCTTTGGAATGGAGATTCTCTCAGGTCTTCGGTGAACGAAGCGCTGGTGAAGAAGTTCAAGAAGGTTAGACATCTGTTGACTACATCGGATTGTTTTAGCTCACTATTCGATCTAATCTCTCAAATTTGAATCTGGATATGTTAGATCTATTGTGTGTTCTTTGATTGTTCGATTAATTTCGTTTTCATCAATGAAAAAGTTTTGATTTTTGGTCAACTTTGTTATCTGGGTAATTTGAAAGTTGTAAGCTTTGTAGTTGAATTAGATTCAATACTCATTTTTTCATTTTGTTGAATCGATGTTATTCTGAATTTTAGTTGGAAATTCTTAAAAAACTGTAGCTGGTGTTTCCTCTGCAGTTGATATAATTTCAGCGATCGAATTTGATAATTCTGGAAACCATCTTGCTACTGGGGACCGTGGAGGAAGAGTTGTTCTTTTCGAGAGAACCGATACCAATAATGTATGTCCACTTTGCCTTGGAAGTGATTTCTGATATGGAATTTGGATAATTTGGTTATATGTTGTTGTTGCATGCTGTCAATTACAGAGTAGTGGAACCAGAAGAGAGCTTGAAGAAGCTGATTATCCACTGAGGCATCCAGAGTTTCGTTATAAAACAGAGTTTCAGAGTCATGACCCTGAGGTATTTGATTTACTCTGTTTTCTTACTCAGCAATTTTGTGCTTTATCATTTTTCTGTCTTTTCATGCTCCATCTTTGTCTACCAGTTTGATTACCTCAAGAGTTTGGAGATAGAGGAGAAAATTAACAAAATTAGATGGTGTCAAACAGCAAATGGAGCTCTTTTTCTCCTATCAACAAATGATAAAACCATCAAGTTTTGGAAGGTGAGAATTTCCTCTATATCGTTTGTTTGCGTCTGAATGACCTACTGTTAAGATAGGAACTTTTTGTTTGCTTTTGGATATTTAAGGTGTGCAATGATAAAACTGATACACTTTCATAATCAATCTTGAGAATGTTGAAATTTGAACTCTCTGGGCGTTGACATTGTTTGTTGCGTTGCTTATTGTATCTAGATGCTTCTACATCCTTAATATAGTACAGAGTTTCTCTCTTTGGATCTTCTTATATCAATAATCTGTTGAGATGTGTATGTAGAGGTGTTTATTTCCTCTTTTTCTTATGTGGGAGTTTTAACAGGTTCAAGACAAGAAGATCAAGAAAATTTGTGATATGAATTCAGATCCTTCAAGAGCTATAGGAAATGGAACCATTGCAAGCTCGAGCAATTCAAACATTACAAGTTCATGCCTTGTGAATGGAGGAGTATCTGAAGTGAACAACTCCTTATGTACTGACTTCTCTTTGCCACCAGGAGGCATCTCTTCGCTGCGATTACCAGTGGTAGTTGTACTCTGAACAATAAGTTTTCTTTATTGTCTGTCTTCCTATATATTTCAAACATGCTAGTTTCAGCACAAACTCAAGTAAAACCTGCATCATAGAGCCAATCATTTATCTAACCTTTTTCTGGGTGATTTCTAAAACTCAAATGCAGGGTTTTACATTAGCGCCAATTGAGTTGAAGTAATATAGATCATATCATGTAGTATATGTGTACAGAAAAGTGATTCAATTTGCTCAAATTTACTGTTATTGATGCTGGAGCTGGACTTGTGTTATTTCGTACTTGTTTCTTGTGCATTTTCCCGTTCCATGACCTTCTCTACCACTGATTAGGATTTGATTCTTAAGTCATGCAAAATTACTTAATATTGCTCATTTGTAGACTAATAGTTCATTTGACTTATACAGGTAACTAGCCATGAGTCAAGCCCTATGGCTAGATGTCGAAGAGTATATGCTCATGCTCATGATTATCATATTAATTCAATCTCAAATAACAGGTAGGTTTTTCACCTATTGGAATGCAACTTCCTTCCTTCTTACTAGCAACTGCTTTATTTGTCCGCGAAAAATTATATGATGTCACTATAAGTCGTCTGATAAATCATTGTCTTTCCAGATAATCAATGCTCCTTTTCAACTTTCTATTCAAACTGACACCTTGTTGATATTAGTTCAGAGTTCTATACTTTCATTGATAATGTTCTGCTCTTAATAATTTTTCTCTTATTATTAGTGACGGCGAAACATTTATTTCTGCTGATGATTTGCGAATAAATCTTTGGAATCTGGAAATTAGCAATCAAAGTTTCAATATTGTTGATGTCAAGCCTGCGAAAATGGAAGATCTATCTGGTAAGCCGTGGTCTACTGTTATCTCAGTCCAATATGTTCTCTTATACTTTACCCATCTACCATGCAATTGGATGCTATATCCTGCGTAATTACGACCATATTCTTTCATGCAGAGGTTATCACATCAGCAGAATTTCATCCTACCCATTGCAATATGTTAGCCTATAGCAGTTCGAAAGGTTCAATTCGCCTGATTGATCTGCGCCAATCAGCTTTATGTGATTCACATTCAAAATTGTAAGTCTGAGACTGGAAATTTTGTATAGTTTCTTTATAGTCCAGTATAACTTGAAGGAGGATCTAAAAACTTAATCATCTCAATTACTTCTTTATTTCATCAAAATTCGATTGCTAATATCTCTCTTACGTATCTGTGAAAACAAAACATTTCATTCCAACATGAGAGATAAGTTTCTAGCATCATAGTATCCTACCATGGAATGCTCGATTATTATTGAGATGGATAAAGCTGCATGAGAGCAAATTAAATGACATTACTCTTTTGTAGGATTTGATAACCTGTAGTAGCAGCAAAGGCTAACATTGCTTGTTTCTGCAGGTTTGAGGAACCAGAGCAAGCAGGTCCTAAATCGTTCTTCACTGAGATAATTGCTTCAGTCTCAGACATCAAATTTGCAAAAGAAGGAAGATATCTACTCAGCCGTGACTACATGACACTTAAGGTCCATACTTTCACTGTTTTCATTGGCATTCGATATGATATGCCCTTGGAGTTATCAGTGGCTGGTTTCGAATTGTTCGTGTAAGGTAAACTGACCTCATGCTTATGTTTTATATGCCAGTTATGGGACATCAACATGGACGCAGGTCCAGTAGCAACTTTCCAGGTTCATGAATATTTGAAACCAAAGGTCAGTTTCCTAATACTTTGAGTCAGCTACATTTGGCGAGTTGATGCATAGCTGATTGGTATTACCTTTGTGGTCATTTTCAGCTCTGTGATTTATATGAAAATGATTCCATCTTTGACAAGTTCGAGTGTTGTATAAGTGGCAATGGTTTGCGAGCAGCTACGGGTTCTTACAGGTATGCACCGGAAATGAGAGCATCTTCTTTTGTTATTCACATTTTCAAATGACTAGGATTCCTTGTATAATCATTCGTTCGGTTTCATACACTTTCCAGCAATCTGTTCCGTGTGTTTGGTGTTGCCCCGGGAAGTACTGAGACTGCAACCTTAGAAGCAAGCAGAAACCCAATGAGGTAAACTTGGTAAAGCCATTAACGGTAGTATGGTCTTCTGTTTCTTCTCTGTTGATGAAATGGAATTTTGTGTTGTGGTTTATCATAGGAGACATGTCCCAATTCCGTCGAGGCCATCCAGAACACTTAGCAGTATAACGCGTGTTGTAAGTAGAGGTCAGTATCTCTCTCGGTATCTCCCCCCTCGCTTGTTTAAGCATTATACCCTTTAAACAATTGGCATGAAAATAATAAATACTGAAATGGTAAAACAGGATCAGAGAGTCCTGGAGTCGATGGAAATACTAATGCTCTTGATTACACAACAAAGCTGCTGCATCTTGCTTGGCATCCAAATGAGAACTCAATTGCTTGCGCTGCTGCAAATAGCTTGTACATGTACTATGCTTAACTCAAAACTCAGCAAAAAGAAAAAGCAGAAAAGGCGCATCTCCTTGCTCTAGACTCTGTTTTTCTTGGTTCCTTATGGTTTGATTAATGGGGGATTGCTATATACATCATTACCATCATCATTGTCACTCACACATGATCTGTAATCATCAACGCGGACTTCTGGGGAAATGGCATGGGGAGAAGGCAAAAGCAGTGAAGAACCAAATCATTTTCTCTTTTCTTTTCTTTTTCTCGTAAGTGTAGAATTTTTCACTTGTGCACTTGGAAACTACTTTACAGGCCAAGCAAAAAAAGAACAAAGAAAATCCGATTGGAAGAAATCGTGATTTTAGTAAGCTAATCATCTCATATGACTTATGGATGGATATAGATTAGATATTTTATAATCTTTCCTGGTCTTTTGTGTAATCATTGTTTTATTGATTCTTTTGTTGAACTTGTTTCTTACTTTCTTGACTTCTTAAAATAATACATTTCATTTACATATTTTCTTCTTACTTTGTTTCTTTATTTGGCTTTTTATAATGGAGATTTATAAAAAATGAGTTAAGACCTCTGATTGTCAAAACGAATCATGCCACAAATCTGATTTGCAATTGATCTTGTGGCTAAAAGACTTAACCTGAGCCATACATTTGTCGTCCTAGAGAGAGCCACAAATTGTAGCCGTACAAGTGACGTTAAGATCGGTCAGCGATAACGGAAGTCGGCAGCTTAACGCGATTGTCAAACCTGGTTTCTGACACTTGTGTGGTTCTGGTTCAGTGTATCACGATAGAGTAAGTACAAAATTGACGATGGTGATTCAATGTTCCAAGGTGGGGTTCCAAGTGTAATGATGCTTTTCTTTTTCATGATCCACAGAAATAGGACTTTGCTTACTACGCACGCTATCTCTTATTTTTGTCTGCTCATTCTCAAGCCTTAGTGGGATCAGAGCATCATAGCCACTGAGTTTGTGTGTGCCCTCGTTGATTTTAAATTAGGGAAAAAAAATTTAAAAAATAAAAAATCTCTAAGCTTATCTTTTTTGTCAAATAAGATTTTAACTATTTCATTAGACCATAACCGTAAATTTATGTTGATCAACCCATTTTGATCTCTTTGTTAATCCCATTAATAAAGTTTAATAGTAATTTTTTTGACCAAAATCGAAATCTCTAACTTCAAATCAAAACCCTCAAATTTGAGCCAAATCGTTTCCGTTGTTTCGTCTAAACGTTCACTGCTTGAACTATTTCGAAATCATCAACTAAAACTTTTTTTTTTGAGAGAAACAATACAATATTTAGTATAAAAACTTTCAAAATATATGGTTCAAAACTAGAAAAACATAAGAGGTATTTTTGAAAAATAGTATCATAAAAATAGTGTTTTAAAATTCGTCAAATAGTAATTTTCTTTTTCAAAACAGATAGGTTGAGTTTATCTGTTCCTAACTTTCTCTGTTTTAAATTGTTCTTTTCACATACTATTTTAATTTTCTTGCAAATTGTGTGTAACAATGAAAGATACATCTACTCGTTTGACGTTATGGAAAAATGAAATCAAATCAAAAGATAAAGTTGAAGTCAAGCGAACAAATTCTAGTCTACGATATTATAAGTTAAGTCAACAAGTCAATGATAAAGTTCAACGCGTCGAATTTTGTGACAAATAAACCATTGAGGAAAATTCTAAGAAAGTTCACTAAATCACTAGTTTCATAACTATATTGATTTGTGTTATTATTTCAGAATTGCTCAATCTATTTCCCGTAGTTCCATAAACTGTATGATGCCGTTAACCGGTCGTTCATAAATTCATAATCCCCAAAGTTATTCCTAAACATTTTCATTAGCAATAAATAAATTGAATGTAATACAATAACTAACCTAAAACATTATTATGATAAAAAAAACTACGATACATAACAAAGTAACAATATTTCCAAATTACATCAAAATTTAAAACGATACTTATTTTAAAACATACAGATATATCCAAGCCAAATTAATATCGAAACGGAAAAAGAATCAAATTAACAAAACCATGAGTTGAAAAATAAACTACAAAACAATTAGCAAACTTACAAAATAGAAAACAAAGGTCAACAAGAAATAAATCTAGAAATCTTCATCAACACAAACTCTCTCTTCTCTCTATATAATACCAAAAAACAAAAAAAAAAAAATCTAGAAAGTCTTGAAAATTGTCATTTTGTGGTTATAAATAAAATAACCCACCACCAAATATCTCCACTCTTTATCTCTCTTCCTTCCTCTCCTCTATAACTTGCAACTTCCCACACCAAAAAGATTCCATCTTTTCTCTTTTTAAAGGTCACCAATATATCTTCACGTAACAAACAAACATTTCTTGTATCAAAGACCTCAACTTTATTCTGATCAAAGAAAAAGGAAAAAATGCAGGATCTGACGTCAGCAGCGGCGTATTATCATCAATCGATGATGATGACGACGGCGAAACAGAACCAACCAGAGTTACCTGAACAAGAACAGCTAAAGTGTCCTCGCTGTGACTCACCCAACACTAAATTCTGTTACTACAACAATTATAATCTGTCACAGCCCCGTCACTTTTGCAAAAACTGTCGTCGTTACTGGACTAAAGGCGGTGCTCTTCGTAACATCCCCGTCGGCGGTGGAATTCGAAAAAACAACAAACGATCTGGTTCGTCATCGTCTTCTTCTTCTTCTCCGTCGAGTAATCTCAAGAATCAAACCGTCGCTGAGAAACCTGATCATCATCAGTCCGGGTCAAAATTAGAGGAAAAAGAAGAGAGGGTTTCGGGTCAAGAAATGGATCCGACCCGGATGTTATACGGGTTACCGGTTGGAGATCCGATTAGTGGTGGGAGTTTTAGTTCGCTTTTGGCGTCGAATATGCAGATGGGTGGGCTTGTTTACGAATCCGGATCGCGTTGGTTACCGAGTATGGATTTGGGTTTGGGTTCGGGTCTACGGAGGAACGATGACACGTGGACTGATTTAGCTATGAACAGAGTGGAGAAGAATTGAAGAAGCGAAGGGTAATTTGGTAAATTTGACATAGATGTCTTTTTTTCAGTCATCTCATAGTCGATATAACAACAAATGATGTCGGTCCATTTAGTGCTATAGTCTTTTTTTTTATTTTTCACTTTTATTTTGTCATTTTTTTTCAAATTGGCTCTAGTGAGTTATTAAAAAAAAACATTTGTGCAAACTCTAGAGAGAGTTATATATATGATACTACCTACTGGAATTATAGAATGAGATTGAATATCGTTTGAATATATATTTTATAAATCTGATTTTTTTTAGGTGTTATGATTTCTCATCGCTTAATTGTCTACTTCTTTTGGAGTTATACTATTGTTATAATGTGAAATCAAGAGTTGACATATATTCTATTTCCTTTTAAGAAAAAAAATGTAATAAAAGTCACCGCGTTTAAAATCTATGTAGTCACGAATCACGATCACACCTGATCTTACTAGTAAGTATTATGTGAATGAGCAAACAAATTGAAAGGAAAGTCAAAAATAAAAATTAAAATGTGGTCCAAGTGGATGGATAAGTATCAAGAAATCAATGTAGTCCACTTCTTATGACACTAGTTTGGGTAAAATGATTTGAAATGATGACTGATGAGTTGTTTTCAGATTATGTATTGGGATTAGTTTGATTTGACAATGCCTAACTATATTTGTTATAACTCTCAATGGGCCATTCTATTTATATTCCTTGATTTTATGGACCACAATATATATTTGGGGGCTTGTCTGGTCATTTTTGAAGGCTAAATTCAGAATTACAATAACAAGTACAAGTAGTGTATATCGAGGATGAAATAAAAAGCCATAAGGTAAAATAAATGTCGGTCTTAATAGTAACAAAATCCATTTTGTAACAATGTAAAACTGAAATTTCTGAGGTGGTCTACATAAGCTGTTTGATGATCTGGATGTTTCAAGAACTAAAATCATCAAAAGAAAGAGAGAGATTACATGGAGAGATTACATGGAGACGAAGCGGGCTTTGTACATTGTGATGTACGCCATATGCCAATCACCTGTGAATGATAAACCCAGCAGAGAAGGAAGAAATAAATCAAGAGAACTACAGTATGTGAGTATAAAGAAGTGGATTAAAGTGCTATTGGGTTTACCTCCTCCGGATAGCTTTGTGATGTCTTCCTCGCGTTGCATGCTCGGGTTGTCATCATCATATTGAATCCATTTGCCTATAAACCATGTGGATTGTTGTAGTTGATAGAAAAAATGGGTATGAGAGAGAGGTCAAGTTTATTAGAGAAAGGAACTAACCACTCTCTTGCTTGACCCATGCAACATAGTGACCAGAGTCTGCACTCCTGCCCTTATGGGTCAACACAGCGACTAGGTCATAGATTCCGGTCATGTGAGTTTCCTTCTCAGAAGAAGCACCTATAAAGTCCCATTACAACAAAGAATTAGATTCCTCACAATTAGGCTCTGACAAGGTTCTTGGTTGCTTTGATAAGATCTATAGATAGACAAACAATCATCAAAGTATTTACACAAAACCATTACCGCTCTTTCCAAGCCAGAAAAGAAAAATGTTGAAAAGGGGGTCTTAGATAATGTACCTTCCTGTGGGTTTACTGTGGATGATTCTCCACTTCCATTTGCTGACGCCTGCAAACAAATACAGAGCAAAAAATCTTTTTAGAAGACTAGACATGATATAAGATCTAGAAGTCCAATAAATATTGTACCTCTGCATCAGTCATTTTCACATCACTGTCCTTTGAGCCACTCTTAGCACTAGTTTGAAGACCAAGCTTTTTACCTTCCTCATCTCTAAGTTTCTGAAAGACACACAGCTGTCAGTTGATTTTGTTAACCAGTTCAGATAATTTGAGGTCACCTCAGTAGACAGAGCAAACCTGGCGAGGAGCTTCCAGTTTCTTCCGAAGATCCTCAGAGCAAAGGTCAAATATATCCAACACCAGCGGATAATCCACTTTCTTCAAAGATCAACAAGTTGGAGACAATACCATAAGTATGTTGAGCATCTGGACTTTTGCTTAATATACAAAAATAAAAAGCAAACGTACCCTGAGAATCTTTGCTTTCTGATTACTCTCCCTTTTCCAGAAAAATCGCACGAACTGAACAGTCAAGTACCTTCAAGATCAGTAATAAGAGAAAGAGACTTCGTGTCAGTGGAAAAAGGATTAGAAGTTGCACTACATTAGTAAGTTGATGAAGATAGGTTCTCTGGTACATGCTGGATATGAAACAACCCACAAGAGGATTACAGAGAACTGAGATATGAAATAAAAGTCACAAACAATAAGCAGAGACTGATCACCTTGGCAAGGAATCTATAAGTGACTCCTTGACGTAAAGTGCAGTACGGCCCAGAGCGGGAGATGTTTTTTCAAGTTCTCCTTTCAGTCCCTTCAGTAAACCAGAAGAATTGAAGTCGTTCATCAAATATATACAATATCTTATTTATAAGAAGAATGTAAGCGAACACTGTCCTACTTTTTCTATATCTGAGAAATATGCAGAAAATCAGAAACAAAGTCTATATTAGAGTTATGAAAATTGCTCACATGTTTTAATCCTTCATGCAAGTGGTTCACTTCATGTGATATATGACATTTTAGAGAATATACAGATTCTGTCTCTGAGCTTTCTTCGCCACTTTCTTGACAATGCAACCTACAGCACAGGAACCAAACACAATTAAATTTACTTAGTAAGGTGAAAAAAACATTCAGGTATTTACATCTTCAGTAGTCAATTTCACATGAACAAACATAGCAACCAAAAGTTGATATATTTCCCTGTAGGAAAACCCTCTACATATATACGCTACATGCAGACACAACCACACACTTACGCCTTGTTATCACAACACTGTCTGTACCATTTTTAAGCACACCTAATTTTATCCTTGAGAGGTAGAAAATGACTAAGTGAAATGCTGTAACTAAAAAATTTCAAGTATTTCCCTCTGTTTTGGCAGTTGGTCTCCTAATAAGGATACCAAGCAGATGTTCCTGCCTTACGGTCTTCATTCTGTTTTGGCGGTTGGTCGTAAATTACAGAATGAATACCGTTCACAGATTTTGCATTGTTTATTAAATGAATGATCTATACAAATAGAATAAGCGAGTTATGACACTAAATTTGAAATTTGCTCAGATACCTGCTTCGAAGATTGACACCAAACAGAGCTTTCACAGCATCAGAATCTTCGCTGGAAGTTGGCGCTTTTAGGGACTGAGAAAGAGTGTATAACAGTTGTGTCCAACATTCTTCAGCATCCTGTTAGGCATTTTTATAGCATGGGTTTACAGACTGAAAGGTGAAAACTGAAAGGCTTAATGCAACCGAGTTTGCAATTAGAACAAACCTGCTGCATGTGCATTCCATTCTGCAACTGACTAAACTGAGGATACTTTTTCCGTAATACCTGCATCAAGACCAAAGTTGGTATGAGCAAAGAGCTTGAAACTTCCAGATCGTATGATGTAATATGGACACTGATGATGAACTAACAAAAGGCATTTGAGATGACGCTTCCGTACAACCCGAAAGATTTCTATTGTATATTGATCATAGATAAGACTGGAGATGAATTTTGTTGATCTATTTAGAGTCTATGGCTCTATGCAAATATTTCTATTCCAACACACAATTTAAATTCTGTCATGGCAACTGAAGGCATCAACTGTTTTGGATGGTGAATTATTTCTCTGATTTAAATAGTCCAGATGCGCTAACATGAAATGAGAAGCACAAATATTAGAAAGTATTATATGGACAAAGACTAACCATCCAGAACTGTGTAGGCGAAACAGCATTGACACTTCTATCAAGCTCACCGAATAACTCACGTGTGGCAACTGTGAGCATGTGAGAAGTCTGGTCGACATCATTGCTTCGTGCAGCAAGTGAGTAACTATTAAGAGGAAATTATATGTATGAGATAACAATACTGAATAAAGACAATGAATCCCTAGGTATTTTTTGTTAAGCACAGAGAAGGATAAAAGATAAACTGACTTAGATAAAGCAGATTTCAACTCTGGGACAGATTTTAAGCACTGCACCGTGGAGTTCATGTAACACGTGTTGCCAAGATTGACAAGACCAGCACTGTAACCCTGAAATCAATTGTAATGTTTGTCAGTTGATAGGACGGATACCCAAATTTTCTGAATATACTAACAAAACCAGTTTTCACAATGTCTAACAAAAATTTAGGTTCTGTTACCGGAACTCTATGAACGTGCATTGTATAGGGTCCAAACATTGTAAAGTTAACAACTATCAAACCCCAAGAAACACACTGATAAGGCTTGCTTGTTAGGCTGCAGAACTGTTACTAGCCTAAGGTAGTTTGTTCCAAATAATAACTATGACAGCTAAGAAACAGCAGACTTTAAGGTGGTAAGTTGAGAGATGACAGATAAAGGGCAGATAGGGGAATGTGTGTGTGTAGGGGAATGTGTGAATAATCCTTTTCTTAAGGATACACAGAGGCTCGTATCACACACGTGCACACTTATAATCAGCAGTAAAAAGGAATACCAGATTAGTAGCTTGCGCTTCTTCAGGTAAATCCTCCGCAAAAACAATAGCCTTCTCAGGAGCTTTCACAATTTCATCAGCAGTTCCCATCATCATCAATTTTTGACCCTAGAATAAACAAACAAAAAAAAATCAATAACCATCATTTCAACAAAGCAATTCAGGAAAAAAAGAGGTTTACTTCTTTCAATCCAATAGCGGACCAATCTCCATCATCCTGCATCAATCGAAAACGGATAGAAGTTATGATCAATATCAACAAACAATCTGGCAAAAACAGATCCTAGTAACATTAAGTAAAACCCAGCAGCAGCCTATGAATCCAAAATTACCTTTAAGAGACCACCTTTGACCATGATCTTTTGGCGTTCAGGAGGAACTCCAGTCAAATCATACAACTGAGCCTTGAAAACATAAGGAGGCAGACTAGTGTCGATCTCGATACCATCAAACACATTCTTTTGCCACTTCACGCTTACTGTCAAAATCAAACAAATACCAACAAATAATTAGGGTTTTACATCAGTCAAATCCAAA